CAGTGATTTTTAAAATTTTATGAAGTTTTAAGCCAATCTACAGAAGAGGCTAGAAGGCAATGCATGTTAAATAACAAAGCTAAACTTGCAACCAGGGCCAGAGTTGGGGTCTAAAACATCTCTGGTATTACAAATTTCTTCCACATACAAGGAAAAGTGAGGGCAAGGCCTTCTCTGGGCTGCACTCACATTATTAGTTACTTTCATGAGTTCTGGTAGTATATTTTGTTTGTTTTGTAAATGACATCTAGCATTTTGAAAAATGAAGCTACAACCACTCAAAGCACTTGTGCATAAATTAAGATAGTTTTCATAATAAGAGAATGTCATACTCATTCCATATGCCCCAATGTTCCCCACTAGGTCCCATGTGACTTAGTGGTAGGCTGACTCCCTCACTTTTGATGGCACTCTTACCTTCTTTTCTGGGATTAATTAATTAATTATATGTGTTACAGCCTGTTAAATTTAGAGTCCCATGAAAGCGTGAATCCAGGATTACAACTTGTGCATGACATGTTAGGCCTGGAAACACCTTTTCAGAGCACAGTGATTTTCTCAGTGCAGAATGCTCATCACAATTTGTTGCAATCGTTTATCTTGTGACTATCTTCATGTCAGATGTTAGCTCGGCAAGATCAGGGATTGTGTGTCTTTGTTCATTGCGGTACGCCCAGCACCTAGCAAAGGATCTGATGCTAGCCACATCTCAGTAAGCACTTGTTGAATGGATGAATGAAAGCCTGAATCATGCAGCACACATGCAGAAGTGAAATGGACAGGCTCTCTCTCTCTCTCTCTCTCTCTCTCTCTCTCTCTCTCAGCAGCATTGAAATTTGAACTCAGGGCTTTATGCTTGCGAGGCAGGTACTCTCCTGCCCTAAATCCCCTGGAAATGGTCTTGTGGAGGATACATTTCAAACCTTAACAGAAATGGGCCCTTGAGCTCATAAATTTTACATAAATTACCACTGATGATGGTGAGTGTGAAAGACAGGTTCTGAATAAAGCATAACAGGAAGAGTTAAGTGGGGGGAATGTTTTATAAGTCCATTAGAGATGCTCTCTGGTTAACAGAGATGATTTTCTCCCTGTCTAGAATAAGGTCCTGCCCATTTTCTGGGCATCATGAATGGGAGCATATCAGATTATAACATCTCCAAATAGGTCACCTGAAATCTTAGTATCACAGGTTCAGGATCCTAAATGCTAGGGACCAGAAATGTATTTGATTTCTAAATAGTTCAGGTTTTGGAATGTTTGCACAGACTTTACCAGTTGACAATCTCTAATTAAAAAATCTGAATGTTCCAAAATCCAAAGCCTTTTCAGTTTCGGATTTTGGAGCATTTCAGATTTTCTGATTGTGGATGCTCAATCGTATTGCCTTATGGCAATACAACCCTAAGATAATAGGAGATAAACACTTAGCCTACCTAGAGCATTTAAACTGATATGAAGCAAAGTTCCACCCACCTTTCCAGCATCTTCTGTGGTCTCTGCTTTTCCACTTCCATGCCTCTGCTCGAGACTTTTCCTTTCTGTGGCTCATTTTGCCCTCCATTCTTCTCCAGGATCAGAGATGGTTTTTCATGTACAGAGTCGGCTTTCTCCATAGTTACTGTGGCCTTGAAAATCTTTCTACACCTTTCGATTATAACTCATTTCTGAAGTACAGTTGTCAGGCCGCACTGTCTCCAATAGATGCGAGATGGCTTGATGCCAAAGATTGTACTTGCTTTATATTTATAATCCTGCAAGCATTAGAAACTTAAGAAACAATGACTTGAGTTGAGTAAGTATATGAAAGGGAGGAGCGCAATCTCCAAAAGAGTTATGCTTTTCAATTGAGGATTATCTGATTTTTCTAATGCACTTTTTTACTTAAAAAGAGCCTTATCATCATGTATGTTGGAATTGCAATTATATCCTACATCAAAAGAAACTTGTTTAACCTCTGTGATGTGTGAGAAAACAACCCAAAGATATTCACCATTTGCCCACCTCCTACCCCCTTTTTGCAGTGCTGAGGATCAAACCCAGGGCCTCTCACTTGCTAAGTGTACATTCTACCACATCCCAAGCCCTTGCACTATTTTTTTAAAACTCCATTTAATTTATTTGTTCCTGTAGAAATCTTGGGGAGGTAAGATGGAAGTTTTAAAGATAAGGGATTATTGAACATAGGCAAAGTCACACAACAATTTCATACCACAGTCCCATCACTAGAACACTTGTAGCCTGACATCACAGCCCTGCTCTGTCATGGTTACAGCCACAAGGCAGGATGTGCCTGATGGAGAAACACTAATCATGATGGTGACATGCCCTTGGGGGGGATTAGTCCATGATGTCCCCTTCAGAAGAGCACACCTGTGCTCTTGTACCCCTCATTATTCCCTAGCCACATCTGTCCCATGCTGATCCCAATGTGACCATGTTTTCTAGACTCTTATCACTTGTGTCCCATTTTTACAATAAGTCAGATTAATTTTCTCCTTTCTAGTCTAATTCTAATCTTTTATTTTTTACACCCAGGTTTCTAGATACAGTTTTGGTTGAGGGATTGTCTCTTGCGCATAGTAGCTATCCAATTATTATATTTTAACAAAATGACTTTGAACTTCTAATAACCATTGTAGTGTTGTTCCTCTTTCCTCCGAAGCCTTAGCCTCTGTTTTTCCAATTTTCTTCTTAGCTTATTTATGGAGGCAGTGCCAGCCGTCTAGATTGCAAACTGTCCCTGTCACTCAAGTTCCTGCTGTGTTGGGGTAATTTAGTCAATATGCTATAATGACCCTGACAAGGGTATATTTCTGCTAGAACCGCCCTCAATATTTCAGTGCTCCTATTGTCCTTGGAGCCAACGTGCTCAGAATGTTAATCTAAACTTTTTTGCCCACTCATTATACAGTGGAAGTCAGACACATATTAATTTGTTGTTGCCCTCCGTTTCTCACACCCTGTCTGTGTTTGAATCCAGTGTATTAATGCTTACTAGGCGTCGGGAGCATTCTCAGTTTTATCATTTTGATAAGGCATTGCTCTCTGTTGCATCAGCCTGATTGGACACTATGCCCTGTATGTATCTTGTGAATCATGGGAGCCGGGTGAGGGTGGGGGTGCAGGGACACCATTGGCCTGGCGATTAAAAACCTGCTGTGCTCTCCACACAACAAACTGCATGAGCTTAAGGAGCTGGCTTCATTAATGTGTTTCACTTCCTTTCATTGTTCTGTTTCTAGTTTTTTCCATATAGCTTAGTAAGTCTTTGAATATCACAGCCAGACACTAGGTCTGGAGCGCCTTCCTTCAAAGGTCTTTGGAGCTCTGTCAGCATGGCTGGGGGCTGGGTAAGGCTGTCTGGGCTTCCTGTGCCCTGTGGCTGGAGGCCTCCCTCTGCCTTTGCTGAGACTGAATTTCTGAAAACTGCCAGTTCACAGTACTCAAGGCTTCCCTACAGGCCCACACCTGCCTCTCCAGCCACTGCTGGAGAGTTCCTGTTCACAGAAAACCCAATCAAATTTTGAACCTTTTCTAAATCTACTTTTGTGCACCTGTGTGAATGCAGAAGGAGATGGAAGGCAGAAAGTCAATGAGCAGTCCTATAAGTGATGTTAATAATAAACCAGCTCAGACAAATATTTGCTGTCATTATCTTCTTACTATAAAGTGCTGCCAGATGCTCTAAAACCCAAGAGTCCAGGTGGACCAAGTAACCTCCACAGACCACCATTGCCACCTCCACCAGCCACTCTCTCAAACCTTCCTGTCCCCCTGCCAGCGATCATGACATAAAAAATATGAAAGAGAAGCTGTGCAATGTAGAAAAAATTGAAGTGAGAAAGCAAGAGATGAGAGTAACTTTGTGGAGACTGATGCAAGTGCTGAAGTAAATAAGCCAAGGAGATGTTAGAAAGGGGAATCAGGGAGGTGACATTTGAGTTGAAGCCTCAAAGGATCAGGCTCCAGCACTGTCTTGTCTGTTTCCCCACCAAGAGAAGCCAGAAGCCAAATGGAGAGGGGAGAGTCTGTCCTCTTACCTACAAAACTAGAAGCAATCATTAAATGTCTTGGGCTTTTATTGATCGGTTTCCTAATAGCTCTGTAAGGAGAAAGCAGAATTTTAATGATCCTTAAAGATCTTGCAAATGTCTGTTTGTTTGGGATTTTTTGGTGGCACTGGAGTTTGAACACAGGGTCTCACGCTTGCTAGGCAGGTGCTCTTACCGCTTGAGCCACTCCACAGCCCAAGATCTTGCAAATATCATTGGCCCATTGTCAGCACATCTTAGGGAATAAGGGGAACCTGGGACTTGGGAATAAGAAAACCCCATGCCACGTCCTGGGGGAAATTGTAGGAGAGAAGAGGCAAGTGGCATAAGAGCACTTGTAATCCCACGTGGTTTGGGGAAGGGGATGGGACAGAGTGTGCCTGACACTGGAGCACAGGAAAAGACAGAGACTGCACTGCCCAGTGCGTCAGCGCATGGACTCAGATTACTTGAGTTCAAATTTCAGCTCCACAACTTGTGACTGTGTCAGCTTGGGCAGCCTACTTAATCATTCTGACTCTCAGTTTCCAGATCAGCACAACAAGAACAATCGTAATAACACTTATTTAAAACACCAGTCTACATGGTTCACAGGCCTTACCTAACACTGGGCCTGGACATTTTTTTTTCTGATGGTCACTATCATTTTTTGACTTCCCTTATTACTGGACAGATGTGGAGTTGTTAAGGAATGCTGCTTCTGGCCAGTTTTGCAGAGATCCTTCCTGTGGGGAGAGTTTTGTGGCCTTTCTATCTAAAGTCTACTCTCTCTTTTATTAGGCAATCTGTGGTCCCTAATGAGAGAGCAGTGGGTAGCATGGAAACATGAGATCAAGTGAAGGAATCACAAAGCTAGAACTGCGCAGATGGCCTATGGACCAAACATGCATTTCTGTAATTTTAACCCCTGTCTCTTCCTTCTCCCTTATTTCCTGTTGGACACAGGTTTTACTGTGCATCACCTACACCCCGACATTTGACCTGAATGGAAGTGCAGTGCTGAAGATAGCCGAGGTGAGTACCTCCTGTGTTTGTGCCTTCTGCTCACAGCTGCTTTGCCTCTCACTAGGATAAACACTGGAGTGGAACTGAGCCCCAGCAGTGGGTGAGACTCTCCTTGTTCACCTTAAGGAATTTCAGCTAAGGAATTGTTTGTGGGCAGCATGCTATGTGGCCCGCCACCCTTACTCCTAATGCCATGTGTCCCTTAGCCATCTGCATGCTGGTGCTTGCTTCACTTGAGGCTGTAACTGTGGGAATAACAGTACCAGGTCTACTCTGCTCTACTCAGGCATGTTGCTTTCTCAGTTTCTTTTTCCTGAGAGTAATGGCTAAGCATTTGGTTTTTTAAATGGTTTTTAAGAAACCAAGTATTCAATTTGAAGAGAGATTTATTCGTCCCGTCCCATGGCTATCCCCTAAGCCCTGATGAATACATTTTGTAGTAGACATAGTTGGAAAGGCCTCTGTTTAATCTGTACGCTAGCATAACATAACACGTGCCTTCCAGCATGCCCAAAATATGTCTGATGGAGAACCTAGCTTCTTGAGTGGCTGCATTGTCTCTGGCCTTCCAGAACATCATCATTTCAAGCTGAACTTCACCACACTTAGAAGAATTTTCCTTCCTTTGCGTGAAAAAAATATCTTCAGGATTTGCTTATTCTGGCAAGAGTACACATCCAAACTATAAAGAGGCAATGATTTTCTGAATTCTAAAATCATGGAGAAATGGCCTGATTATCAGCACTTAAGAGTAGTAGTTATTAAGCAGCTATATGTGCTATTTATTTTATAAATATGGCGTTGTATGGAATTAAAGAGTGCAATTAAGAGGATTTTTTTCTTGGCAGTCCTGGGGATTGAACAAGGGCCTCTTGCTTGTTAGGCAATGTTCAACCACTGAGCTTACATCCCTAGCCTAAAGGAAATCATTTTGAGCAGGTGGAGAATGTATAAAAGACAAGCAGCCAATCAGCTGAGCCCTCATTACACTATAAATCAGTTTCCAAATATGTATCCATAGATGTAGACAAACACTTTTCCTTAGCACATTTACATGCTTTACTCTTTGTAAGTAATGACATAGGACAGTTATTGATAATTGTTTCCAATAGAATTTTAAGAGCTTTCATGAGTGTTCTTATTTGTAGGTTCACTTGTCACAACAGTGTGGTTTCAGAGAACAGCAAGAGCAGGATTAGCACATAAGGAGCTTACTAGCCCTCACCATCCAGAAAAATATGGGGACATGCTATATGCCATTGCCCAGCAGTACAAGGGTGGCGCCCAGGAGAGGGGGTGGAGCCCAGGAGGAGGGGCAATAAGTTATAGGGCTTCAGGAAGGAGGGCTTCTGGAAGCTCCATGCTACCCTTGGAGAGGAAGAGGAAGCTTTCTCCATCATCTTCACTGAAATCAGTTTTGGAATGAGAGTCTGAATGACTCAAAATGTGCAGTTCCTAAACAGTGGATGCAGTGCCAAAACCAGAAAAGCAATGGCACAACCAAAAAAGAAAAAATCTTAGCCTAAGATCCACATAAAGACGAAGGCATTTGAGCCTGGTATTAAGGATGGGCTCTGGAGCGCCACTGTTTGGTGCAAATCCCGGGTCCCCCACCTCCCCAGAGGGTTTCTATGGCTTCCATTGGTGTCATGTTTGCTTCTGTAAAAGAAATGATGAGTACACCTATCTAACAGTGTGTTTCTAGCAATCACACACAAAACTATAATCCATGTAAAAAGCTATTACTGTAGGTCCAACCCTGTAGTAAGTGTTAAGTGTTTGTCGTGTCTTTTTTGAAATAGTTAGAGAAGCCATTAAAACAAGCCATTAAAAACCCTTGAAATGGTGGGAAGGAATTTAGCTGTCCTCTTCTTTCTTATACTGGTATACATTGATAATTACTCAAGGATGGTGTTTACCCTGAAACCTGTTGATCAGGAAGTAGGATGTGTACTTAAGAATGAAAAATGAGACTATTTCCTCAAGGTGCTGCTGAAGCTATAAAAGGACCATTAAGCTCTCAAAGTGTAAATAAGAAGGCAACCTTCATTTTATGTCTAACTTTAACTTGCTTAATTAAGCTACAATTATGAAAGTTTTTTCAGAAGAGTATTTTCTTGATTACAGTAGGAATAAAAAATACCGCCACATTTTAAAAATGGACAGTTACAAAATATTCAACAAGTATTATCTGTTCAATGTCACGAACAGTCATTATTAACCCTATGTTGGATACATAGTCTTCCTCTTCATTGAAAGCTGAGGCCAATTTTTTTCTTTTTAGCATTATACACAGACTAGCGATCTGTTGAATTTTCCAAAGATAGTTATTTTAATATCAGAAAAGGCTGAGGGTGTAGGAATTGCCGAGGACTTGTAATAAAGGAAAAGATCAAGTCATAGCCAAAAGCTCTCTGGGGCTAATTTGAAGTTGTTTAATGACATTGTTCCATTTAGAATGATTTGGGACATGTCTGCGTGCCTACTGAAGACTCCTCTATGGAATTTCTCAGAGGCAGAAAGCCCAGGTTGTAAATGTGTATTTGAAGGTTTGGTCTTACCAACTTCTGGAACTTCTAGTCTTTGATCCAGTGGCATTCTGACAGGATTGGGCAAAACCCATTTCAATGACCATTGCTTTTTCTCTGACTTTCATATTCTCAGGGACCTCCCTTTCTCACTGCTTCCATCCACCCATCTGTCCATCCAAACATGACTAGTAATAATAACTACTAGTCACTAAGTCCTAAGGCATGACAGTGACTAGCATTTTGTATATATTCTCCTTTACTCTCCACCACAATCCAGCTAAATAAAGAACCACAAATGAGTTTAACTTGCTTGCCCAAGTTTCTGTAACTATTCAAACCTGGCCTTTTACTGTGCAAACATGCTATTAACCACTATGCTGTACAGTCTTAGAAAATGTTAGTAGAGTCTTGCCATAATATTGGTAACCAACTAAAATTCCTAAGCATTGTGTCCCCCTTGGGCCTTCCCTGAGGGCCTAAGTTGTTTTTGTATGTGGTGTTTTTGCAAATGAAGCTGAAAGAAGTATGGAGATATTCTACTTTTTTTGTGACCATAGATTCAAGTGACCATTAGGAGTGTGCCACTGTCTCGGACATCTCAACTTATTGATGTTTTATCTTTTCTGAGCATTATGTTGCCATCAAAAGATCTAGAGTTAGTAGTAGTTCTGCTTGTTAACCCTTGGGAGCTTAAAAACATTGAGACTCAAGAACTGCCCCCAAAGATTTTTATTTAACTCTTCTAGTTGTCATGGAAGTATTTTCTTTAATTGGGCTCATTTCTAGCCTTTGAGATGTTTCATGATACTTTTTTTTTTACTCTGATGCACTATTCTGAGACAAAAAGTAGCCTACAACTAAAGGACAGTCTCCATATATATTTCAGAAGAAAGCTAGGCACGATAACCTATGCCTAGAATCCCAGCTACTCTGGAGCTGGAGATAGGGAGGGTCATGGTTGGATGCCAGTCTAGGCAAAAAGCTCGTGTGGCTCCATCTCAACCAATAAAAGCTGGGCCTGGCGACGTGCCTGTCTTCCCAGCTATGCAGGAGGGAAAAATGGGAGGATCCCAGTCCAAGCCAGCCTGGGCAAAAACACAAGACCCTATTCAAAAAATACCTAAAGCAAAAAGGCTGGAAGTGTGGTTCAAGTGGCTTAGGTGGTAGTGCCAGCCTAGCAGGCAGGTGCAAAATCCTGAATTCAAACCCCAGTACTGCCAAAACAGGACAACAACAACAACAAAAAAATTTTCTTCCAAGTTGAGATCCAAAAGAGAAACCAGCCAACTTCCCTACTCACAGGGTGATCAGACTTACCTATCCGTATATTTCCCAGGAATAATACAACTTCAGTTCCCCCTGTGTGTATGTTTGTACTGATTCAATGAGGTGCATCTTGCTACCTACCCACCTGTTAGGAAGGAGGCCTCTTTCAGAGGCCTCTTTTAGTTACCTGGTGACTGAGATGTCACCATGATTTATTATAGCATGTAGTCATTCAGTGATAACCAAAATTTTCTCTAGTTTTTCTGGATCAACAAGCGTTTATAGTCTTCCTTATATAGAGTATGTTTCTTTTGCTTTCTTGTAATTCAATCTCTGATCCTTTCTATCCTTAATCACCATAAATTATTTTTCATCTCCAGTTTCTTTTTCCAGTTGAAAATATACTAGCTCTTCCTTTTATGGAATTGATGATTCAGTATTGTGCACATTTTTAACCCAGCACCACATCACTAACCCCATTCAGACAGGAAAGAGAAGGCACTTGTGGAATTCAACAAAGTGAAGGTCATATGTATTTTGCAAAGCTAAGCAAATTTCTCTTTAGGTACCTCTTTTAAAATTTAGGCTCACTTTGGCCAATATGTATTGAAGAGCAACTGTGTTCCACTCTGCTACTTCTCACCAATAATGTGACAGTTCCACCCTGATTTTAACCTAGTATTATTATTCATCAGTTCACTTACCCAATACTCAAAAACTTTTATTGTGTGCGCATGTCTTTAGACTTGGCGGTTTTGTGTTCTTTTTCCTTCTGCTTTTGAGTTTGTCTTTGTTTTGTTTTTGTTTTGCTTCATTAACCACTGATGTTTTTGCTCTCAGTTTTGTTTAGCATGTCATAAAGCTGGACGTCCACAAATGCATGAAATGATCAAAATGTCCATTCTGACCCTCCTCACTGCCCTGTGTCTTCGTGCGTTCCCTGGTGATCAGGGGCCTGTGGCTTTCCCCAAGGTATTTCACTTGGCCCTCTGAGCCTCTGCCAAGGTGCAGGCCTGAAGCATTTCAAGAGTCAGTTCTACATAATGAAAGCAAAGGACATGGGGAGGTAGAACAATATTGGGGGGACTAAGAGGAGAACACATGAGCTCTTTTCCGGAAAGTCAGCCTGCCTTTGGACTTGACATTCTTTTAACTTCACTTATCCACTGCACTCATTTTGGTACTGCTCTGTGGTGGAGAAAGAAAAGCATTCATTTTGTGAAAAATCTCTGATCTTGAGGGCAGTGCTCAGGTTTAAGATGGAAGCCCTAGTTCTGTGCCCTTTTGGTTTGCCAATTTTATTATTACTATAGCAAGTACAAGAAGCTTTCTTTAGGAGCTATCAGGATTGCTGACAAAGCATTTCTTCCTGAGTACCTAGAGGTAGCGATGCTATCAACAAGATGGTAATGTTTATATTTAATATGGGTCTCTTTGTTGTAGTCGGTATATATATCTATATTCCCAACTTTGGTAGAATGAGCTTCTTAAATACTTTTCCTTAGCCGAGTAAACTAAGAGGTTTTCCTTAATAAAATACCTCCTGTGATAAGTCATGTCCAATGTTTTCCCCATGGTATTAGACCAAAAACAGTGGGGACATTAAGACTCACACACAAAAGAAATGTGTGTCATTTGCAAAGTTCTTTTCTGTATATAACACTGTTATAAAAAATCTTATTCCTTGGGTGTACTTTTTTTCATGGGTATAAAGGGACTGATAGACTTTCTTAAGGGAGGTTGCCTTGTGCGTGTAGCTCAGGGTTCAAGAGAATTTATATTAAGTGTGCAGCTGAGCTCTCAAAACAGTTGTCCTTTCATCTTCAATGCTTTACACTTTTAAGTCTTAAAAGTCCTCCTTAAATGCATACATAAAAGCTTAAAAATTAACACTTATAAAGATTTCTTGGAAAAATGTATGATATAAAAAAATCTGTTAATTGCATGGTACAAAAGATACTTGTGTGTCTAATGTGACTATGGAGAATTTGACTTCATCAAAGTACAACGCTGAACTCATTTAGAAGTGTTTCAAGTTTTCTAAATTATTTCATCACATGCCAAACAGAAGTGTTGGGGATTAAAACACTTTTTAAAGCATGTGTAAACTATGTCCCTTCTTATCCATTATAACCCATAATCATTTGAGAAAATGAACTTAAAATTCACACATCCTAAAAAGGTTTATGAAAAGTTGTTTGTAATTCACTGTTTTTTAACTATACAATGAATTGATGTAGGCCAATTTCCAAATTCAATGTTAAGTTTCAAATGCTCCTTTGAAATATTAAGCAACCTCTAGGAGCTAAACTAAACTTTCAAATTGTACTTACTTTGGGGGCTTGGAGGTGTAGGTCAGTGGCAGAGCACTTTCTTAGTGTGCACAAGGCATACTAAGCACCACAAAAAGAAAAAGAAAATGTTTACTTTACCTGGTTAAGCTGCTACACATATCTTAATATCTAGCCTCTCATCTCAATTAACAATCATCCAATCAAATTGTCCATTTAGGCAAAAACCTCTGTTTTCATTAGAGATAATCTTAAAGCTATCCCTAGAAAAATAATTGAGGTGCATTAAGTCCCTCTTTTCATCTTGTTATCTTTAACTGTTTTGTGACATTCAAAGAATAGAAGAATATCTTACAGTGGAAAAAAAAAAGACAAATTTAAAGTGTGCCCATCCCTGTAGCTTGAGGAAAATTAGTGGCAATAAAGCCTGGGAAGTCATACCATTTAAAATCATCATTATCAAATAAGGGATTTTTGCTTTTAAAAATTGGGATTTCTCCATCAGTAACCACCAGGGACTCATCTTAGGTTCAAGTAGAAAGACCCAAAGAGGCCACAACTGACTGCTCATGCGTTCACTCAGTAGGACACAGGTCAGGAAACTGAAGTAGCATAGTATCAGGCATGTGTCCTTCGTAGGAGCCCTCACAGGTGACCTCGTGGGTGTAGAGGATGAGAGCACTTCAGAAGGAACTGTCAGGACAGAATCCCCTTCTACCAGGAATTTACAGTTGATTCGCAGCTGCTCCCATTCAGGTGCAGCTTAGCAATCAGGAAACATTTTCCCATAAGCTACTCAAATAGATTGTTGTGGTGGTGACAGTACCAGGGATTGAACCCAGGGCTTCCTGTTTGCCTAGCAAACGCTCTACCACTTGAACCACACCCCCAGTCCTTTTCCCTCCAGTTTGTTTTTCAGATGGGCCTTGTGCTTTTACCAAGGTGGCCTCCAACCTTGACCCCCTACCTATCTATGCCTCTTCCTAGCTGGGCCCATAGGCAGATGACATCTTGCCCAGCCTGGTTTTGTTTTCCTTATTTGTTTTTAAATTTTTGGCACCCCTCGGGGGTTGAACTCAGGGTTTCAAGCTTGCTAGGCAAGTGCTCTACCACTTGAACCATGCCTCCAGACCCCAGCTTAGTTTTGAGACAGTTTTGCTAACTTTTGCCTAGATTGGCTTTGAGCTGCAATCCTCCCATCTCCACCTCCCAATTAGCTGGCATTACATGTGTGGGCCACCACACCTGGCACCCATTTCCATAAACTGTTCTACTTTCATCAAATATCCAAGAAGGACACAGTTACAGAATTAAACCAAGGTCAAATTTGTTTATAGTGCTGGCAAAGTGTTTCCATAACCCTTTACCCACACTTTATAACCCATGAGTTAATAAATTCTATTCTACTCTGCCATGAAGGGAGCTTTTTTCAGCTTCCTGAATTTGTTCTTAGAATTATTTGGTTCATATAAAACTTGCTACTTTGCATTCCCTGGTCATCCTCAGGGAAATCTTACTTTTTCCTATATGCTTAAAAACAAATTTCCAGAGATCTTAAACATGTTTGACTATCTTCATTAATAAGAAGTCTGAAGTCAGGCTGACTTTCTGTATTAGAACTCAGTGTCCTCACTGGTTAATACCAAAGAATGTTAGTGATAACCTGACGTCCTGAGCATGCATCTTGCTACCTTATTTCCTTACCAGGTGTGCATCGAGACATACACATGCAGCTGTCACCAGCGTAGTATAAACACTGCTGTGCGGGCGACCCTCAGTCAGATGCTGAGTGACCTGACTTTACAGCTCCGACAGAGGCAGGAGAACACGGTGAGCCTGTGCCACGCCACATCCAGCATGGTCTTGGTGGTGTCTATGTGTGTCCTAGCATGCTGTGTGACCTATATCTGAGGACCCTCCTACCATGGCTTCTCCCCACTGGCAGTACTTAGGAAGGGCTTGTTTGTTTTGGAAGAACAATTACTTAGATCAGTTAAGCTGCTTAGAGTCACTTTTTAATCTTCTTATATTCAACATTTTAATCTAAAATATTGTGATGACCAATGTGAAATTAGGAAAAATGAGTGGCAGTGCATCTCATGATTGTAAGGTCTGGTGTTTTCCTTGGTCAACTAAAAGGTTAGGACAAGAGGTTCCCCTCACTTGCTGGGGCTGTCCTTTCCTCTGATGTCATAGCCTACCAGATATTTTCACTCTAAAAGGGAATAGATCATCTGAAATGAGTTTCTAAGGAAAACTTAAATGCACTTGGCTTTTTGTATATGCCATGAGTTATTTTCTGGGAAGGTCAATGAGAGGATGATTCCTCTCTAAAATTGATGTTTTTGTTTCGTTTCTAAATCTGCCTCTCATCACAACTCAGATTAAAATTCTCAGAAAATCTAGCAAGGAGTGCTCTAAAGTAGCATTAGTTAGTTTTTAAATAGGAAATACAGTTGAGACAGAAAGATCTCAGAAATTAACTTTACAGAAAGCAAGGTTTCATGTTTAATTTCAGTGTTGTCTCATTTTTAGCTTTAGCTATTTTCTAATTTTTAGAAAATCATAGAGTTGAGGGAAACCTTACAGATGGTCATGTTAAGTGTCTTTATTCCTCATTTCACAGATGAGATGAAGCCCACAGAGATGAAATTGAAATGTAAAATAATGAGCTTATTAGGACAGAGGCAGAAGGAAAGCCCTGGACTCCCAGCTTGCTCTCACTCCATATGAGCTATGGCAGCCAGGGTTGAAAAACAGCACTAATCTGGCAAAACAAATATTGAGTTTTTTTCTTTTGTGTTTGCTGTGTCTGAAGCCTAAGTTTCTATTAAAATTGTTAATGAGATATTTTTATTACTTTAGCTCATCCCTTGTTAAAAATAATTCCATCTACACTAGGATTTTAAATATAAGTGCAGGAATAGTTATTTTTAAATCTATAAATAGACTCCAAATCAGAAGAAAAAAGCATTTTTTAATGAAACTAAATATAAAATGTTAAGAATTTGTATATTAATATGCAGTCATGTTCTGTCCTCGGTAAATGATAACACAATTAAATACTCTAATATTAAACAATATCTTAATGTTTTAAAATGAAACATTGTAGTTTCAAAGTGCTTTCAATTTTGTTCACTTAATCTTATTTTTTAAATTTTGAGGAGAGGGCAGTCATACACCATGTTTTTTTGGTCAGTGACAGACCACATAAATGACAGAATCTTACAGGGAACTCAAGGGTATTGTAGACTGCACCATCTCTCTCTGCAAGTACAATCTGTGATACTCACACAACAACAAAAACCAATCAGCACTAAATTTCCTAGAGAGTGTCCCATCACTAAGTGACACATGACTATAAAGTTGCAAGTCAACTATCTCAGTCTGTTAGCTTATATCGCTCTTCCATAATTGTGACAGGTGTAGTTGAAGAGCCCTGGATTGTACTACAGAGTTTATCTGCCTCTGTTATACCCAGGTGTGACCAATCAGTCTTCTGGTCCTACTCATAACTGAACATCTGGACTCACCCCAACCAGAAGCAGGATCCTAAGTTAGTTAGGAAATAGTGTTTCCTGTTATTTCCTCTCTATTACTTGTGGATCCCTTTTGGAAAGGTGAGTTCACATCCCAGGAAACAATTTTCAGAACGCTAATGTTTAAAGCATTTGTGGTGTCTAGAGGAAGACACAGGTTTTGCCACATAAGAATTAGATATTTTTCCAAACACTATTAAAGAGGAGAAGTCCACAGGAATGGTGAAGTCTGTTCTAAGAGGCTGTGTGTTCCCCTGGGGACACACAGTACTACCTTGGAACAATGGGTAGACTTTGTAGCAAAGATACCACAGGCCACCTGAGAATTAGAAAGACCTAAATACAGTGGAAAGAGAATAAATAATGTAGAAAAGAAATTACTGACACGAAGGGTGTCTTCAACCTGTCCCCTCCCTACTCCCAGGGCAGGTTACAATTTTGATTCTGTTTCCTCAGGAATCCAGAGTTACTGTCCAGTTTTATTACTGAAGTATTTAGATGATGATAGCCACTGTGAAATTCTAAATTGCTCATTTCAAAAGGCAACAATGCCACATGTAAATATTGAGGGGTGGGGATGGAGGTTCATCTGCCCTTACATATAATTCTGGTAAGTTTCTTTTGAAAATGTTGTTCTAACCTTAGGTTTAGCTATAGACACTGATGCAACATTTCATAAAAATTGCTGTGGAGCTGCTGAGCTTGCAAATTATGAACGGAGAAGAGAAGACTTGTGCCTGTAGCAAGTTTAAAATCACCAGCAGGATGGGATGACTTATATGTCTGGTGGTTAATGGTCACAGACATGCCTCCTTGTCATCTCCTTGTGCAGAGGATTGGTAGTGTGAAGGGTTTCCTTCCCTTCGCAGCTCTGTGGACACTGAGCAACGGCTGAGATGGAAGTGAGCGTTTTTACATCCATTTTTCCCTTGGTGCTGTCTCTGCCCTAATAGTTCTGGCTCCACATAGCAGCAGCTGGTCTGATGCCACTGTTAATTTGCTCCTCTTTCAAACAGGACCATGTTGCTCTGAGCTGTGGTTCTCTTTGACCTGTATTTTGAAGGCCGCAATTTGGTCTTTCTTATGACTAGTCTACATCTGAGGGCCAAACACAGTGTAGTCTATGATCTTGGGAGAAATTATTGTCTGTGCAAAGCTTAACTCATCTCTTTAGGTAGGCATTGCCGCAAGTCATAGATCAGGAACCTGGAATCATAAAGCTCACCATGGGGCTTAAACTCCCAAGTAGTGGATTCTAAAGTGAATTTTTGAGGGAACTAATGGAGCGGAGTTCTAAACATCACAGTCTTTCTTGTAAATGCAGTGAATGGTGAAATGCTGTCAAGAGCTGGAGTGTGTGCTTAGCTCAGGTAGCTGAAACCTGAGCACTCGGGATGCCAGTTCACATTCTAGAAATTTCCATTGGCTAAGACTCGGAATTTGTACTGCATAAATCTCCTAATTGTCTGTGTGTGTCTCCCTCACTAGATAATTGAAAACCCAGATGTCTCGCAGGAATTCGGGAGTCAAGGTATTGAATTTGATTTTTCACTAGTTCAGTTTACAAAGGAGGTACAAGAATGCCTACTATGTGCATGGTGTCGGGGGTGTACAGATGACAAGAGCTCTGGTGTCGGTTCCTGCTCTCCTTGGAGGCTTTCCTTGGCTTTGCCTCTCTGGGTTTTACCTAAATGCTGCCTTCCTTCTGTTCCTGTGCCAACTGCACCTACTCGTGTTCCAACTATGTAAAGAAAAGTGACTCTGGATGTTCCTCCCATTTGGAGGCTTTTTGTTTATTTTTTGTTTTAGGATTTTGATTTTTGGTTTTTGGTTTTGTTACTTTGTTCTCCATGAAGCCAGATTCAATTGCTAAAATGACAGTTGGGAAGAAGGCATAAAACCCTGATTACCAGGCAGCACGAGGCACCAAAACTTTGCCAGATACCAATTTCTTAACATGAAAAATAAGTCACCATACAGGTTGTCTGGCACACAGCCCAATTTAAGTCACTGATGAATTCAAGTTAAGGAACTTTCTTTCTCATCCACAGGGTCTACATACAATTGCCAAGCAATTTAATTTTCAAGAATAGCTTTGAGAGTATTATTTTTACAGAAAGATATGGAAAATTCAAATCTTTTAGTTCAAACAATGAAATGTATGTTTTATTTCAGAATTTACTCAGTAACTTTAAAAACAGTAGAAAAATCTGTTTTATGGGTTTTTCCAGCTAATAGAGAGAAAAGGTTGGGAATGGGGAGAGGATGAAAAGGGAGGGATGAGGGGAGACAGAGAAACATCTGTACAGCCATAATTAAAAGAAAAAGAACAAGAGAAAGCAATGAGAAAGGGAAATGGCTTCAAGTCATTTACTCTAAAGCCTTCTGTAATGCATCGTTTTAGTCCCATCTTGCCTCATTCTTGGGCTGTATGCCGGGAAGTGTCACAGCATCTTTTCTGCTTTTGATGCTCTCAAGGATATGCTGCAAGATTCCCCACCTGTCCTTTCCTCCTCAACACTAAGGCTTTTGCATTCTCATAAAACTGTCTCTTAATGTAAGATAGTTTTATAGACTAAAAAGGGAGTCAAAGTCATTTTGATCAAGTATATATCTCTAAAAATATATATTAGCAAATCAGGCATAGCAGGGAAGGCCTATAATTCCAGTTGCTTGGGATACTTGGGAGACTGAGGCAAGCAGGAGAATTTCAAGTTCAAAGCTAGCCTGAGGCGCTCTCTCTCTCTCCCTCTCTCTCTCTTTCTCTTTCTGTCTCTCCCCCACCCTCAGTGTGTGTGTGTCATCTGTCTGTCTGTCTTGCCACCTTCCAACACTGCTCGTTCTTTCTCTTACATTCTTGCCATTTTTTCCTCCATCTTTGATGACCTCATGGCCATTCATTCATTTATACATTCATCAGATACTAAGCCACATTTGCATAGATGCATACGGTTTTTATAGCCGAAGACAAATGTTTCCACTTATGATTTCAACAATTCGGTGAAATTCTGTTGTTTCTTTCATTTGTCAAAGGGGAAACCCAAGCTTACCCCAGCTCACACAGACAGCAAGTTGTGGACTTGTACTTGAACAGATTCCAGAATCCAGCTTTTACCCTCAGGGCATCTGTGGAATTTCAATTCTAGTTTCTGGAAAATAGAGCATGTTTGGAAAATTATTTTTCTGACACTGGCTATCACTCCGTTACCAACAAAAACCATGTGCCCTGTGTATACTGAGCAAGCAGTTAAAGTAGTGAAGCTGGTGACTGTGCCATCTTGCCCCCATTGTCTAGTTTCTTATTTCCAGAAGCCCATCTTTTGTTTTTTTTGTTTTTGTTTTTGTTTTTTACCATGATGCCATATTTTATATCTCTGGGACACAACTCAGACCTCCCCAGGAGACTGTGAAGTTCAAGAGGTCAGAAAAAGGGATCCATGGAGAGCCCATTGACCTAAATACTAAGAAAATCATCATCAATTGGGTTATTTTTTTAAATTCATCAAATCCTTTTTCATTAAGTGTGAATGCATTTTACTAATAATGAGAACCAACCTATCGTTCTCTTCCTGGCTATCTTTTGAATGTTTTACTTTAGAAAGGAATGATTATATAATTAGATATATCTAATGAGTACACCTAATTCTTACCTTTTCTGTGAGTGATTGTTCTGATGGCCTAAGAGACAGTCCGTATCTGGAAATTACCTTTCTATCCTGAAAAGCCCCAAAAGCAGAGAATGGGAGGACACTGAAGGAACAGCAGGGTCCCCACCCGTGCATGCCTAATGCCTATCACCTCCTCTGTTTTGAAGGGTCAACAGTAGAGACCCTCTGTGACGACGTGGTCTCTGTCCTCACTGTCCTGTGTGAGAAGCTACAAGCCTCCATAAAGTAAGTGCCTTTCCACAATTGCTCTTATCTGGCAGTGGTCTAGTTCTGAAATAACTTCTGTCTGCAGCATCACTTAAATTACAGATTATAGAGACAGTAGTTCCCGCCCACGGGTATTCACCTGTCATTCCTGAGAAATATATTCAGAGACCTCAGGCAATCCCAAATTACCAAATACCATTACTGAAGGATATAATTTTCTGAACTGAAAATGGGAAAACAATACCTTGCAAAGACGAGCTACTCCCTTGAGCATGGAATGAGTGGAAAAAGCATGGGGTTAAGAGCTAGTTGACATGGGTGCCAGTGGTGACTCAGGTGTGGCCCTGCTGCCTGATTGTAAATGACTCCTCTCATTGGACTCCTTGCACCTCCTTCCTCTGTGAAATACCAGTTCTGGATTCTGTGGACCGTCTCTGTTCCTTCTGTGAGCTCATGCACATAGCTTTAAAAAGGGCCTGGTACGCTGACTTTTATATACTTTCTTATATTTATTTTTTTGCATGTTGGATTAATCAGTGGTGTTTGTTCATTTGGGTGATTAAGTTAAGAAGACAACATGATATATTTGATATATTGCAATAACTTTTGAAAATGCCACCATGTACCCCACCCTGCACAACAATTAAAAAAAGAAGAAGAATAAGAATAAGACAATGTCTGCATCCAGAGTAGTCAAACTCAGAAAAAAACAGACTTTCTGAGAAGGGATGAAGTCGGTGCCTGCTACACATGGTGAATTGCAAAATTCTACCACAAGATGCGATTCTCAAGTGCCCTTTGAATTAAAAAGGATGCTGTAGACTATCATGTACTGGTAACTAAGGGATTTGCTAATGCAGGAAAGCTTCCACTCGTGTGTTTTAACTACGGTAATAGATGGGAGATATGATCTAGCTGCACATGTGAACGAGGTCTCTCACTTAGCTTTAAACTTGGTTTTGGCAGAAACTTGTTTTTGTTGTGTAGTTTTTGTTTTCTCGGAAATTCAGGATTATTTTAAAGCTAGGCTTAGAAGCATTCCTACAAGTTGTTGCCAGCTGGTTTCTCTATTAATTTATGCACTATTCCTATAAGCCACCTGCATGTTTTGGGCAAATGAAATTCTTCATATCAGGCACTTAAAGGTCAAATACTAAAAAGGAGAGATTACTGTAGTGGTTACAAGGTGGGATGGGAGGAAATGGAGAAAGAAAACACGTGGAGTGAGTAAGTGAAAAGATCTAATGTGGAACACGAGGCCTGTAGTTATGGATGCTGGGTTTATTCAGCACTTTTCCTAAGCCAACAATTATAGCTGCTCTTGCCACATGAGGGGAAATGGATAAGCTCTGTGAAATGATAGATGTGTTAATCTGTTTCACAACAGTAAGCATTTTACTCTATGTATGTATCGCATAACGTCATACTCTATGCTATTCACAGAAAATGAGGGGTCTTTTTAATTCATGGGTGGGATAAACCGAAAAGAAATAGCACTTAACTTCTTCCCCACCTCACCCTCAAATTTCTCCCACCCCTGAGCCCTAGGCAGGTGGCAGATCTGAGTGAATCTCATAGCACATTAAAGAGGCTCTTGATGAACCCTGCTCAGGTGCCTTCTTTCCTGGACATTGGAGCACTAGAGCTGGCACACAGATCACCAACCTAGCCTGAGGGCTCCAGTACCAAACTACCCCGCCATGCCACCTGGTTTGCTGGGGACAGTGCTAGTATATGCCTATTGTGTGATCATTGTAATCACCCCTCTTCACTCTCAGCAGTGTCCTGGATTGGATGGGTTATGTATTTACTCATCAGCAACCATGGTCTTCATCTCTTCTACTGCCAACTTCTCCCCAGTCCTGCGCAGGGCCTCTCCATCATAGCAGAGCCAGCTGTTTCGTCAGAACTGGAATATGTTTCCCCGTCACATTTTCTCCTAAAACCCTTCAAGAGTGGTATTTAGAATATGATCAAAGTCAAGGGCAAACACAACAAGGGGATTGGACTTTGAGCACATGATAAAAGCGAGAGCACACAAGGGAGGGGTGAGGATAGGTAAGACACCTAAAAAACTAGCTAGCATTTGTTGTCCTTAACGCAGAGAAACTAAAGCAGATACCTTAAAAGCAACTGAGGCCAATAGGAAAAGGGGACCAGGAGCTAGAGAAAAGGTGAGATCAAAAAGAATTAACCTAGAAGGTAACACACACACACAGGAAATCAATGTGAGTCAATGCCCTGTATAGCTATCCTTATCTCAACCAGCAAAAACCCTTGTTCCTTCCTATTATTGCTTATACTCTCTCTACAACAAAATTAGAAATAAGGGCAAAATAGTTTCTGCTGGGTATTGGGGGGGGAGAGGGAGGGGGCGGAGTGGGTGGTAAGGGAGGGCGTGGGGGCAGGGGGGAGAAATGACCCAAGCCTTGTATGCACATATAAATAATAAAACAATAAAAATTTTTAAAAAATGAATATGATCAAAGTAGTTATATGCATGTATGCAAATGCCCCATGTAACATTATTTTGCATAACTCATGTGCACTAATTTTAAAAACAGTAGTATTTAATCAAGTTGGCATGACTACAGAATTGTTGGATTTCCTGGGTTAAAACCCCTGCTCTGCTCCTTACTAGCTCTTGACTTTGGGTAAAGATTTCAATTACCCTAAGTTTAGGTATTTTATAAAATAATATATTATTTACTATTATATCATATAATATCAGTGATATTAATATTTTAGCTTTTTTAAGACTGAATGAGAAAATTCCCTTAAAACACAGGCCGTACACATCAGCCAAAGGTCACCAGAAATACCTGATGCTAATATGCTTAGGCTTATTAACTTGGCGTACTGAGACAGCCTGTTCTCTCTGGGAAACTAGGGCGCATCCAGCCAAAGCATGTGAGGAGGGATAGTTCTAGGATTTGATCTTGAGTTCGGTGACTTTGGAGTGAGTTAAAGGAATTGAGAGGAGGTGATGTCAGGAAGTACAGTCAGTTCTAGCATTGAGCTCCTTTGTTTCTACGCAGGACGTGAGAGGAAAAGACAGGAGCTAGAGTTGTCACTGGAGAAGTAGTCTTCACTCACCATGGAGGGGGACATTTGATCATTTCTGTGGCTGTGTAGAAGCCCCCCCCTTTTCTAGACCCTAGTTCAGGCATGGATGCCAACATGCTTTCACCCTGTTCCATCCTCCCCATGCAGAGACTTCATCCTGTGTTAACATTCTGCCCCGTGGCTGATCGTTCACCAGGAAGCCTCAGCTAATGGCCCTGACCAGCCATCCAGGCTGCCCAGGTCTTGGCACTGTCAGAAAACAAAACAAAGACCACAGAACTTTAAAAGCACAGAAACCGTGGTCATTACTACGGGCAAAGAAAGCGAGCACACTAAACATTTTTTTCTGAGTAGCATTATAAGGGAAAACAACTGGAATTTTAAGATGTAGAACAGCAGAGGAGACTTGTGGTGATTACAGCAATTAACAATGAAAATCTAGCCATCAGGAAAAGGCAGAATGAACCCGTAGGCCTATAAATGTACCATTGTTCATTGGGCAGAAAAGAATCAAGTGCCTGGCATGAAGTTCACAGGTCTTTACACCTGGATGGCTCCAACATGAGCAACAGGGACCTAGAGGTGAGCATTTAACCTGGTTTAGCTTGGGCAGCCCAAGGTTATATCTCTTGTGTAAGTGTTGTAGGGATTCAGTTTTGATATCTTCAAGGAAGTAATGCCATAAGCGGACTCTTTTGAGTATGTAGTGCCTAGCATGTAGTAAATATGTGATATCTGCTGATTCTAAACTTTTTTTTTTTTGCTTGCAGAATTATTAGTTCCAATTCTAGTTTGTGATGCAGTTAGGCACAATAAGCTTCTTTTGAAAACTTCGACTATAGTTTGTTAGGAAAATGTATTGTACATACATGAAAATGTGTACGCACACATATTAGAAACCAAAGATCATAAATTTCTATTAGTCACTAAAGACATTTCTTAATCCTGTGACTTAAAGAATAGGCTTTCAGTGGGGGGAATAATTCAAGTGACACATTCTTGTTTTTCTAGGGGTTCTCATTGAATATTAGATCAGAGATGGCTTTAGGCATGTTGCTACAGTGCTTAATGGTTCTGATAGCATTCTTATAGTCTTGGCTTGGTTTTTCTGTTGTAATTCCCCTAGTTATAATTCTGCCTTTAGAGTTTGTTTGCTTATTTTATTTAACATTTCCTACGATGATTAAATTACTCAAAGGTATGGGGAGCATTGCCAGAAAATCTGGGGTACAGCACACTTAGTGCAGCTGTAACAGAGGCCTTTAAACTTTAAAGTCTATCTGGCCAGGTGATGCCCTGCCCTTGGCTGCTCACATTCTGGGGTTCTTCTTGTTCTCCTTAAGGGCTCCCATCTGTGTGGTTTCTTCTAATTTTACTGCCTTAATTCCTTCATTTCTCTTAGCTGAACTTGTTGCCTCTCCCACCTTCTAAATAGGTTCTCCTCTGAGGTCGTACTTCTCAACAACCATTTCCAAAGTCATAGCCCAGACGCCTTACAAGGCTTTGGCTCGATAGGGGTGTGTATTTGCAATACATTCAGTCTCTCAGGAGGACTCAGAAAATACATTCAAGTACACAGCACAGATCACCCACTTGCCTTAGAGATGTGATATTAATAGAGTTTTATATTAGGCAAGTTGGGTTCCATGATCCTGCTTAAATCAAGAAATTTGGGAAGAATAATTGGACTTAGAGTAATAGGTATTAATCCTCTGCCTGTCACCTGCTACCCTCCCTCATCCTCCTTTTCCTCTTAGTACAGGAGGGCAGATGGGAATCTCTACCAAAGCAAGCTGTAAGTCAGTGAGGCTGGCCTCAGTGGTTGAATCTAACTCCACTCCTTACACAATTCCTTAATTCCTTCTCTCCTTTTTCTAACTAAGTTCAAAGCTGTTCATAAAGAAGGTGAAACTTTGAACAAAAATGGTTTAAAATAAGAACTCTGAGAACTCCGAACGCCTTACTGATTGCTCTCCCAGGACTTTCCAAGAGAGGGGGACTGCTCAGCCTTTGTGACCCACCTGTCCACACCAACAGCTCTGCTCCATGGAAATTCAGTGGTGAGCCCAGCAGACACTCAACCCATCAACCATGCAACACTCAAGCAAAAGACCAGGAAGGGTGGTTCCCAAGCCTCCTGAGTGGGCAGATGTTTCCCACTGTGTTTTGGAGAGTTGGCTGGGTTCTAGGCTCCTTTTCCCTCTGTGTATCCCCCATATGTCTGTCTGCAGGCACACGAGTGAAAGTCAAATACACCATGCAGAGTGTATGTGTCTTCAGGGAGGGCCTGGGTGGAGGGTGCTTACATTTTAAACAGCTCCATTTAATGACATGACTCATGCAAGGCCACTTATTTGGGGACTGCTGCAGCCCACGGAAGAGCTGCCATCTGTCTCCAAGGAGACTGCTCGACCAGTTTCCTTGGCAATAAGTTCCCTGTTCGAGGCTGGTGCCCGGGGGCTGCAGTATTCACCACGTCACACTTTACAGATACTTGGAGCAACCTTGACTGCTGTAGCTTTTCTTCTAGACTTACTTCTGGTGTTTGAGAAATTGAGAATCTAAATCTTCCAGGTACTTCAGTTTTATGATGCTAGATTGACAGCTTGAGAGAGAAAACTTTTGTATTGTGGCATTTAAAAATTATTCTTAATGATAGGTCCAGAAACAGAAACTTTTGTATTGTGGCATTTAAAAATTATTCTTAATGATAGGTCCAGATCTTGGTCAGAAGGACTAACCTGAGACATAGTGAAGGTGATCCTTTCAGAACTGGTTTTCTAAATGCAGCTGGTAATTATAAGTGATATTGTAGCCCTCCTGTTTTTCCTTTCCTAATCTGTTCATGCAAAGGCATCCACAATGAACATTCTAAAACACAAATCTGGTCATGTCATCGTCCCGTCCATCACCTTACTCTGCCTTGTCTTGTACTTGCACAGTCTTTCTTAAATTGGCAGGTCTTTGGATGAAAACCTCAGACTTTGGGGTGGTCAGCTCTCCTTTTCCTCCTTCTTCTCTCCTTGAGTTTCTGCTTTCCTATCAGGAGCATCGCCCCTCCCTCCCATCCCCCTCTTCTGGGAATTATCAAACTACTGAGAATCACAGCCTTCCTTTGGCATTTATTTTAAATTAGGAGAAAAGAAACACAACTAAAAATTACTTATATTGCCAGGTCTCTCCTATTTCTGAATATCTCATTCCATAAAAGATTCCTGGGTGAATTCTCTTGAAAGGGTATACTTTTGTATATCCTTGGTATCCTTTTGTGTATCCTTGGTAATTAAACTTTTTCTTACCCCCATTTCTGTTTCTTACCACCTATAGTCCTCTTAATAGTTAGCCTGGACACATAAGAATGTGCTTCCCTCACAGTGGTCTATTTTCTTATCTTGCTTTATTGAGAAACCCCATAATAATATTTTTTGGGAAAAGTAATTTTTCTACTGAAAAGCTATTTCCTCCATAAAGAAGAAAGGTCAAATGTAATTAGTAAGGTGTTGACCAATTAAAAGATGATATAGTGAGCTAGGGATATAGCCAAGTGGTAGAGTGCAAGGCCCTGGATTCAATCCCTAGCACAACTTTCAAAAAAAAAAAAAAAAAGAATGAAAAGCAGCTCACAACTGTAATCCATCTACTTGGGAGGTAGAAATCAAGAGAATCATGGTTGTAGATCAGCCCAAGCAAAAAGTTAGTGAGATCCCATCTCAACAAAAAAGCTGAGCATGGTGGCTTATGCCTGACATCCAAGCTAGACTAGAAGCATAGATAAGAAGGTCAAGGTCACAGGCTGGCCCCGGGGCAAAAGCAGCAGACCCTATATATCAGAAAAATAACTAAGGCAAAAAAAAAGGTTGGGGTGTGTCTCAAGTGGTGGACCACCTGGCCTGGCAAGTGGGAGGCCTTGGGTTCAAACCACAGTACCACCAAAAAGAAAGAAAGAAAGATCGTGTAACAAATGGTTTCTTAAGAGGTTTAGATAATTAAGCATATTAATAATTAATATCACTGGCATATAGATATTAGTTAATATATCAACATTTGTACAATTATTCTAGTGTAAGATGTTAAACTGTGCATGAAGCATGGGTAAAATATTACTGTTTCATGTTGAGTTTTTCTACAAATATACAGAAAACTGTTTATTAATTTTTAAAACTCAGCCTAACAGTGTTAGTTTGCTAGGGCTGCCATAATAAAGTACCAAAAATTAAGTGCCTTAAAACAGGAGTAATTTAGCTGTGTGCCAGTGACTCACTCCTATGATCCTCGCTACTCGGGAGGCAGAGATCAGGAGGATCACTGTTTGAAGCAAGCCCAGGCCAATAGTTCACAAGACCCTATCTCAAAAAAAATTCTTCACAAAAAGGGCTGGTGGAGTGGCTCAAGGTGTAGCCCCTGAGTTCAAACCCCAGAACCACACACACACACACACACACACACACAAATAAAAACAGGAGAAATTTATCTTCTCACAGTTCTGGGTGCTGAAAGTCCAAGGTCAAGGTGTTGGTGGGGTTAGCTCCTTCTGAGGACTGAGAGGACCTGGTCCAGGCCCCCCTCCTTGGCTTGTAGATGGTTGTGTCTCTTCATACTGTCCTCCCTCCATGTGTATCTAGGTGTCCACATTTCCATTTCTTTAGGGGATACCAGTCATGTTGGATTAGAGCCCACACTGATGAGCTCACTTTAGCTTACTTTTGTCTGTAAAGACATTCCTAATAAACTCATAATCTGAAGTACTGAGGATTAGAATTTGATTTGTGAATGTGTTGCGAGGATGGAAAGTGTAATTCAATCCATGACACTTTCTCCCCTTCTGCTTTGGTGAAACCTAACATTTTTCTTGGGCCACATAGCACCTCTTTAATTTTAAGCCTTGTGTTTTGCGCATCTATGTGTTGATTTTGCTCTTCCACAGTGACAGCCAACAGCTACAGCTTCTGTACCTGGAATGCATCTTGTCTGTGCTTAGCAGCTCCTCCTCCTCCATGCACCTGCACAGGGGCTTCACCGACCTCATCTGGTGAGCATCCCCTCCTTACTCCCTGAAACTAGCCCAAGGGTCTCCTTTTGCTGAGTCTTGGGTCCCTTTTCACAACATTTGTGACCTACCCACTTGTGACAGTTTTGCCCACACATAACTGTCTTAGAGGGAAAGTAGATCAAGTGCTGTGTTTACATGCTTTGGACCAAAATCCAAAGAGAAATTGATGGTTATTATAACAAATGTGCTTCATGGGATCGTGAGAGGCCAGAACCAGAAGGTCTTCTGGGTTCTCAGTTTGTTCTAGAAGCATATAAATACTTCAGAAGCTTACACGGGAATAAGAGACAGTGACCCGTACTCAGCCCTATTCTGGATCATTCTCCATCTAGACAAGAACACTGATCACTTGTTCATAATCAGAGATTCTAGGACATGACAGGTTCTGCAGGTAGCCAAGTCATTGTTCTGGGTCCCTGGGCTCACTGACAGGGAGGAATCAAATAACAGGTGCCAGTATGGGATTTGAGATTAACATAGTAAATGAGAAATAGTTCTGTTATTTGAAGCTTTATAACTAATCCTTTTCGCATTTTGAGCCCCTTCTTCACAAAACATGTTTCTGTAAAAAAAAAAAAAATGTTTCTCTTTGTTGTTGTTTTGGGTTGTTTTTGTTTTTTGGCAGGACTGGGGTTTGAACTCGGGGCTTTGCACTTGCAAAGCAGGTGATCTACCACTTTAAGCAATGCCTTCTTAGTGGTTCTCTTGATATTTAGTTAACCTTAGCTCAAGAAATGAGGAAAAGTATTCTGTTGACATGCCCCCAGTTGAGGGAAAACTGGGGCAGAATGCAGACCAAAGAAGGCACAGTCAGGACACCAGCTGTTGTGGGCACTCCTGTGGCATCTGGTGCTTGCCCTCAGATCGTGTTCCTTTCTCATCACCTGGCTTCAGGTGAGACTCACTTTTCCTTCTGTCTCTTCCCAGGAAAAGCCTCTGCCCTGCTCTCATCGTGATCCTCGGAAACCCCATTCATGACAAAACCATCACTCCGCTCACAGCAGCAGCACCAGCACCAGCGTGGAGTCAGACTCTGCCTCCCCAGGCGTGTCTGACCATGGTCGGGGCTCAGGCTGCTCCTGCACCGCACCAGCCCTCAGCGGGCCCGTGGCTCGCACCATTTATTACCTTGCAGCTGAGCTTATCCGGCTAGTGGGGTCGTGGACTCCATGAAGCCAGTGCTCCAGTCCCTCTATCACCGTGTGCTGCTGTACCCCCCACCCCAGCACCGCGTGGAAGCCATCAAGATCATGAAAGAGGTAGGGAGGCGGGGAGAATGCTTGGTTTGTGGATGGGATCTCAGTGCAGTGTCTCGCACACAGTATGCACTCAATATTTGCCATCACTTGCTAGAAGGTCATCGCTACCATGTGGGATCCAGTGACAAGTGGGGGTATGTGCATGTGCCAGGGGTAATTAGCTATGTTTATGAAACTCTATTCAGTGTGTACCTGACCAGGCCCCAGGCCAAGAATTCACCCCGTTCATGCAGATAGGTATGTTGATTCACCTATGCCAAAATCAGATTTCAAAATGACTTCTTACTCAGGCTATACCTTATCCAAAAAAAGCCAGCAGTTTTGTTTCTGTGAGCTTGTTCATAAAGATCAAACTGCATTTCCCTAGGATACCTAACCTCCCCCAAAAATCAGAGTAATAAAATCCCCTTGTTCATTTACTTTAGCAATACTGATCACCAATTTCTAAATAGTTAATTTTTTTAAACCAGAACATTTATTGTATCACAACTAATCATTAAAATTCTTAAGATGAAAATGATGCTGTAACAGCTGCCATCAGCTTTAGATGTTGGTCCCCTGGGATCCATGTGGCAATCTACATGTACGCTACTTGGCAGGGTGCAATATTTAGGTGCTCCCTAAATGTCCTAGCCACATTTCGTCTTTCAGCTGTGGCACTCCAGGTCTGCTTTCTTTTGTGCTTGACAGGGTATCTATGTGTCACAGGTCAACTTCTAAAGGAGGTAGGCCTTAGAACCACAGCAATGGCACGTGTGTTCATCTTGTTGGGACCCTTTCCAAATGATGACACGGTCCCTTTGTCATGTTGCCTCTGTAGCTTAGACCAAAGAGTAAAAAGTTAAATTTGAATTACTTCTTGGTAGTGTTTTAATGAAATTTGACAATAATGAGTAATGAAGAGTTCTGCCTAACATTTCTAGAAATGAAGGAATGACCCAGATTTGGTTGCCATTAAGAAAATCAATGGGAACAGAATAATAACCATTTTTTCTTTCTTACTATATAACAGGCACTTCACATATATTACCTTTAATGTTCTTAGTAACTTAGTCAAGTTGTATGTGTGGCTTGATCAAAAGGCCAGGTCTGTGGCCCAAAAGACTAAAAATCGTATGTTCTCCCTCATATGCGGACACGGGCAAACACAACAAGGGGATTGGACTTTGATCACATGATAAAAGTGAGAGCACACAAGGGAGGGGTGAGGATAGGTAAGACACCTAAAAAACTAGATAGCATTTGTTGCCCTCAACGCAGAGAAACTAAAGCAGATACTTTAAAGCAACTGAGGCCAATAGGAGAAGGGGACCAGGAACTAGAGAAAGGTTAGTTCGAGAAGAATTAACTTAAAAGGTAACACACACGCACAGGAAATTAATGTGAGTCGACTCCCTGTATAGCTATCCGTATCTCAACCAGCAAAAACCCTTGTTCCTTCCTATTATTGCTTATACTCTCTCTTCAACAAAATTAGACATAAGAACAAAATAGTTTCTGCCGGGTATCGAGGGGGTTGGGGAGGAGGGGATGGGAGGGAGGAGATGGGAGGGAGGTAAGGGAGGGGTTTGGGGGAGAGTGGAGAAATGACCCAAACATTCTATGCACATATGAATAAAAAATAAATTAATTTAAAAAAAAAAAGGCCAGGTCTAAGATCAGTCACCACTAGGTTGGTGAGGAGTATAGCTTTGAAGGTGAGATGAGGTAATTTGATCACCACCCAGACAGCAGGGCCCTCCACCAGGGACCTGCCCCTGCCCCTGCCCCTATTAAACTGGTAGCTTGGAGGAGCCAGAAAGGGAAATTCTTTGATTAGGCGGATCCCCAGGAAGAGAAGAGCAGGAGGGGTTGGCCACACATGCTCAGCTCCTTCTAGATTTACCAGCCAGATGAGGTCCTCCTCCTCCACTGGAAGAAGTGACAGGAGGGAGAAGACCTAGAATTTTACTCCACTGGATGTTCCATGTAGAAACACAAAGCCAAAGAAAAGGGGTTTTCTGTCCCACAAAGAAACTAAAAGGTCAAATGGTTTGCCCCAAGTTCCCAAAGACAGAGAAAAGTTACAAAGCCTGATCACTCTGGCCCTAAGCCCATGGTCTTTCCTATCCTTCCCTTTTTCCTGGATGTGACACTCAATTGATAATGAAAATCATTCCCACAGAGCCCTGCCTAGCACTGGTTGTTAAGGGTCACTGGGTATGACAGTCAGGGTTCAAACCTCGCTCTGCCACTCACCAGCTAGATGACAGTAGAGAAATCACTCAACTCTGAATTTACAGTTTTGTTATCTTTCTATCACTAGATATTCCAAAGTTTACAAGTTCAACATGCAATAAAGAAAAGATTTACTATGAGCAATGTCAATCCCCTTTCGTTTTTTTTAAATGGATAGTTCGGGGCCTCAAATTGTTACAGCATTTTTATGTCATTAAAAACACGTAAAAGAAAAAAATGTCACAGTTTGCGTAAGTACTTTGCTGGTAGAAAGTGCCACACAAAATACGTGGTGTACTTAACTGCTGCCGTAAGGAAGAAATCACAACATGTGGAAACTGAAAAAAGCTCATCTCCTCTCCTGCCTGTCTGGTTCTTAATTTTTTCTTTCTTCTGTCTTATTGGACTTCTGCTCGTAAATCACCATTATTAACAATTTCGCCCTTGCCCAGGCTCTCTAATGGCTCCTTTTTGCCTTTCTCATCGTCTGAATTACTCTGCTCTTCCCAGAGCCTTCTGCTGCTGTTCTTCTTTCCCATCATTTCCCACAATGCAACATTATTTCCCAAGATGCAGCATTATCCTGTCTGACTGACCCTGCCTTGTCCTATTCTTGCCCTCCTGCCTCTATTCAGTCCCTCCCGCTATTCCCATGGTCACTTCCACTTCACAGTGTTGAGAGGTTGGTCACATGGGCTAGACCTTCCTAACTCTTCACTCCCTTGAGGGTGATATTGTATCCGTTTTCTAGATGAGGAAACTGAGGCTCTGAGGAGAGAAGTGACTTGCCCAAAGTCCTACACCTTGTGGGAAATAATGCTCAGAAGTGAACCAAGATATTCTAAGTACATCTGCCTCTGTCAGCAAATCCTCCTTCCAGACTCTGCTTCCTCTGACACTGATCTTACTTTTACGCCATCCTGCCATTTAGCAATGACTGGAGTGTCCTGTCACACTGGTTACTGCACAATAGGAAGTGAATCAAGCTTCTTATCTCCTCAAATACATTTTGTGTATATGGATTTTGTGTATTCCCCCTAGCATTTAACACTGCAGTGTTTCCCGAGGTCATTTTGGAGAAGTAAGGCTAGAATTAGACACCTGCTCCTGAGTAGTGTGTGCAGCCCATGCGGACCCATGCCGCCAAGCAGACGAATTTGGGCCAGGTTGTTCTGGAAAGCTGAGCTTCCTCTTTATATGACAAAACAGTCATTTAGGAAGGTTGGTAACCTAGATACCAAAATCCACAGGACTTATGCCCACAAAGAAACCACTCAGTACCCAGGGTGTCTCTTTAGCCTTTTGGAGTTTGAACGCTTGGTTATTTCCCTGTGACATGTTCTAGTATGTCACTCTGCCATGTGCACCATGTGCCTATTAATCGGAGCATACAGGACACTGTGTTTGTCAAAGAACATTCTCTTTCCTGTATCTACTTTCCCCAGAAGTACACTTTGCTTCCTTTTGTCTGTCCTGTGGTGGGGCTTTCAAAGGAGTCCCTAGTGCTCACCCAGCACTCATGTCTACCTGAAGAAGCTGAGCTTAAAAGGTCTAGCTGTTCTTGTTGTGTCTTTGAAGGTCCTTCAGAAGCCCGGTCACTCCACTCCCTGCCCCTCCAGATTCTGAAGAAATTGACAAATCAGCACAGATTAATAAGAGAATCTACATAGACTGTCTAATTTATTACTGGCAAAGTTGGCTTAGAGAAAGGATGAGGTCCTGAAAGAAACTGAGGTCTTTAAACTCCTGTCCCTGGAGCCGGGAGTGCAGCTCATAGCACATGCTTAGCATACATGACGCATTCAAGGAACAAGTCATTCTAATATTTCATGAACTTTTCCAGATACTAGAAAGAGGAAACATTTAACCAAGTTTATGAAGCTAGCCAAACTTGAAAGAAAGCAACATCATAGTGTAATTTCGATCAGTTTCATTAAAATTTGCAGTTAGCATCCCTCGTCTAAAATCTGAAATGCCCAAAACACAAAACTGTTTTTAGTGCCAACATGATGGCAAAAGTAGAAAATTCCACACCTTAGAACTATCCCATGCACAAAATTATTGAAAATATTATGTAAAAATACCTTCATCCTTTTTTATGTAAAGCATATATGAAACAAAATAAATTTAATGTTTGGACATGGGTCCCATTCCCAAGATATCTAACTGTGCAAATGCAAATACATCAAACCTGAAAAAAAAAACAAAAAACAAAAAGGAAGCCCTTCCAAGCATTTTAGATAAGGAATGTTCAACCCACAGCTGGCTTTTCTCCTCATATTGTTTCATCCATTAGAGAAAGTAGATGTTTATTTGCTCTCACAATTAAAACTTTGCGTCTTTTGTGATACTCACTTTTCTATATTTTCCCTCTCTTTCCTAAGATACTCGGGAGCCCACAACGTCTCTGTGACTTGGCGGGACCCAGCTCCACTGAGCACGAACCCAGAAAAAGATCAATGTCCAAAAGAAAGTCTCACTTGGATCTCCTCAAACTGTATGATACATTCCTTGTTGGGTCTATATGCGTGGGTGAAGACTGTTTCTCTGAATACTTTTCACCTCGTTCCCAAGTTCCTGAAGTTTTTATGAATCTACATGAAATGAGTCGTGCATGTTTAATCATTTACCCATAAGCCATCTGAGAAGATTTATCTCAATTCATTGTAATCAGTAACTTTCCACATTTTCGTATTGACTTAATGCTGAATATACAAACTGAAATGTTCACAAATTCATTAGAGTTATTTTAGGGAAGAAGTTTTTAATTGACAATATGGAACCAATAGGACTCCTTCACCTGTAGCATATCTAGAAAAGTAAATATGATATGGGTTGTAATCATTCTATTGACTGATCAGGAATATGTTAATTTTATAGAACAAGGTCCATATTATCAGATAGCCATTACAACTATTTTCTATTTGAAAAACTGAGTATAGGGCTGAGGGGTGTGGCTCAAGTGGTAGAGCTCCACCCAGCAAGCATGAGGCCCTGAGTTCAAATCCTAGTACTGCCAAAAAAAGAAAACTGAGCATAATACAAAAATGAGATAGTTCCATTCCTGTCCTCGGAAAATGATAAATCCCCCCTCAGGAATTTTCATTGGTAACTAGATAAACCACCCAACCAAGAGGGAGAGTTTGAGTTCAGGTGGTCCATTTACCTGGAGATTTTTCTCAGCTTGAGTATGTTTGTTTCATTTTTCCCAGAGCATTTGATTTATGCAAATTAGACTGTCTCTTTGAATACTGTGTATTTTGCCAGATAACAGTTCTTGTTCACGTGGAGGCTTTTTTTCTCTTCCCTCTGCGACGCTGCCAGCATCATGGATGGCATGACAGAAGCATGCATCAAGGGTGGCATTGAAGCCTGCTATGCCGCTGTGTCCTGCATCTGCACCTTACTGGGTGCCCTGGATGAGCTCAGCCAAGGCAAAGGCTTGAGTGAGGGTCAAGTGCAGCTGCTCCTCCTGCGCCTTGAGGAGCTGAGGGATGGGGCTGAGTCCAGCCGGGACTCAGTGGAGATCAACGAGGCTGACTTCCGCTGGCAGCGGAGAGTACTGTCCTCTGAGCACACGCCCTGGGAGTCAGGCAATGAGAGGAGCCCGGACATCAGCATCAGTGTCACCACGGATACTGGCCAGACCACCTTGGAGGGAGAGCTGGGCCAGACGACCCCCGAGGACCGCTCTGAGAACCACAAGAACGGGCTCAAGTCACCAGCCATCCAGGAGGGCAAGGAGGTGCTGACCAAGGTGGCAGAAGCAGAGGCAGCAGACCAGCCCGATGTGGTCCAGAGAAGCCACACTGTCCCTTACCCTGACATCACCAACTTCCTGTCGGTGGACTGCAGGATGAGGTCCTGTGGTTCTAGGTACAGTGAGAGCAACTTCAGTGTAGATGAGCAAGACCTGTCCAGGACGGAGTTTGACTCTTGTGACCAGTACTCAATGGCAGCAGAAAAGGACTCTGGCAGGTCTGATGTGTCAGACATTGGCTCTGACAACTGTTCGCTGGCTGATGAGGAGCAGACACCTCGGGACTGCCTGGGTCACCGGTCCCTGCGGACAGCTGCCCTGTCTCTCAAACTGCTGAAGAACCAGGAGGCTGACCAGCACAGTGCCCGGCTGTTCGTGCAGGCCCTGGAAAGCCTCCTTCCCCGGCTCCTGGCCCTATCCAGTGTGGAGGAGGTAGACACTGCCCTCCAAAACTTTGCCTCTACTTTCTGCTCAGGTTTGTCAACCATTTTTTGCTCTGTAGGTGACAGAAGATATTGAGGTCATTTTGTCTTCATGGGAAATCATGAAGTGTTGAAAGAATGTTAATGAATCTTGGGGTTTCCTCTGTTTAAAGACAGTATGAAATACATGGGGGGTAATCCAGGAGAGAGGAGCTGGGGAGCCTGGGCTGCTCTGACTAGCTTGGTGTCCCTTGTGCCAAGACAGAGAGCCCAGCAGACATAGTGGTCCCCAAAGTAGCTTTGTGTCAATGGTAATGATGTCCTTGAGTCATCCAGAAATGGTAAAACTATGGAGAGGGTGTTCAGTTTGAAATTAAAATTATCCATATAAAAATCTCCACTGGAGAAGTCTTGCATTTAATATATTAAATTTAGATCTCAGATAAACTTCATGTTATAATAAACACCATCCCCCAGCAATTCTAGAAGAATTACCTGTCCCGGTGGTAATGGCTGACCTCCAAAGGCCCTCCCTCATTTCTTATGAGAACTGAGAAATATAATCCCAGCAAGGTCTTTTACAAAGCTCTAGCTATAGCAAGTCTTCCAATTTGTGTGTGTAAAACCTTCAAGTCAATACTTAATTTTTAGTACATGTAACACAAGGGCTCATGTGAATTTTTTGTATGGCCAGAATATGGCACTCAGAATCTTGAAGACTGCCCAACTGTCAAAGGTCTATAAAATGTCCTATCAGACCCAATATGTTGTGTTTTTACATGTAGAAATCAGTATACTGAAAAGAGACTTCTTAAATTTTCATTGTTTCTAAATTTAAATTTTAGTGATTTAATTGTACTTTTGTCTTTTTAGTTCTAACGACATCTGTACTGCTTTTTTTACCATTTAGGTTTTGGCCTTTGTCTGTCAATCACAGACCCACCCGTCAGTCCATGATCTATTATCAGTGTAATGGATGTCCTCTGTCTCACTCTCCTTAGTAGCCTATGGTTTAACTGGTGACACTGGGCATTGTTGTGGGTAAGCTGAAGGACAGGTGTCCACCTCTGGAACAAAGGCACATGCTCTTGGTTCCTTGGCAAGGGCCACTTCCAAGATTAGATCAATAAAAGAAAACAATGATGCCCTACTGAGATGAGAGAGATGGTGGATTCTTCCCCACCTCCTAGCCCCCGAAACAGCAGCAATAAAAGCAGCGGAAGAGCAAGGAACTCTCTGGATCATAACCTGGCCTTAACTCTTTCTTTATTTTAATGTCATAGCCTCAAACCTTCTTATGCCGAAACGCCCATCGAGCATTGCTCCCTACCTGTTACCCAGGATCTGCTTCTTCTGTGACAGAATCACTGAATCACAGTCAGTGATTCCTGTCCTAATATACTATTGACACCAGCTGCCCTAATTCCAAATGACACAAGAGCCTTTCTTTTAAAACAAAGTTTCTTATTGTGGGAGAACTTGAAAACATTCCCACAAAAATGACTGCCATAAAGGCAGCACTTGACCTGAGCTGCAAGCCCTGCACAAGTGCCTCTCTGATCCCAAGAGGACCAAGGTAGCATCTGTGTGAGGTGGCTCCTCAGGACAGAAAGAAGATCCAGCCTTGCTCAGCAGCTGACAGAGGGTCGTGGGCACTTACTGTGCGTGGGTTTCAGATGGAAATAGCAAGACAGCAGATGCAAATAAGCTTGGGTAATGAGTGTCACCCCAAGTTTAAAGAAGGCAGCAACACTCTGGCAGAGTGAACCCATGTTTATGCTATGAGATGTAGTTGTTGGCTTGTTTGGGTTTTTTAGTTAATTGATATGAAGCCCAAGGGATGTTCAAAATGAAAACCCTACTAAGTATAAAATAGCATTTTATATAATTTTTTCAAAAAAGCAGAGAGCAAGACAATCACTGCATGTGCTTCTGAACATCTTTTTCCCTCCGTTTTTGAAATCAGGTTATAGAAATAATATTCACACACCATAGTTTACTCTTTACAGTACACAAGCCAATGTTTTTTGATGTTTATATATGTTTTACTTAGGGTAAATACACATAACATTAAAAGCTGATATTTTGATCATTTCTAAATGTACCATTTAGTGGCACTAGTTATAGTCACAATAAATACAACCATCAGCACCACTATTTCCAGAACTTTTTTTTTGCTATTCTGGGAATTGAACCCAGGGCCTCATGCTTGCTAGGCAAGTGCTCTACCACTTGAGCCACACCCCCAGTCCCAGAACTTTTCAGCACCCCAAAAATGGGCACCACACTCCTTCCAAGTCCCTGTAACCTCTCATATACTTTCTGTCTCTATGACTTCATCTACTCTAGGTGCTTCAAATAAGTGGATCTAACATTTTTGTCATTTGTTCCTGGCTTATTACACTTAACACAATGTTTTCAAAGTTCATCTGTGTTGTAGTAGGTATCAGAGTTCCCATTCCCTTTGATGGCTGAATAATAGTCCATTTTTATGTGTGTACTACATTATCCGTTTGTGCTTTGGTAGACACTTGGGTTGTCACACCTCTTGGTCATTGTAGTAATGCTGCAGTGAGCACCGATATACAAGTATGTGTTCGAATCCCTGCTTTCAGTTCTTTGGGAATATAACTAGGAGTAGAATGGCTGTCATGTGGTAATTTCCTATGTTTATTTCTTTGTGCAACATTTTTACTTTTCAAAAAATTTATATTTAACTGCCCAAAGCATACTATTGAATAATTGAATCTAGTTCTCATAGCTGTCTTACTCATTCATTCTCATTCATTCATTCAGCAAATATTTTTTAAGGGTCTACTATATGACAGTGTTCTGGGTGCTGGGGATTCTGTGTGAGCAAAACTAACAAAACCTATCTCTCACAGATCCTGCGTAACAGTGGTGACAGCTGACGACCAACAAGTTTGTATTAATATAATGCTGGGCACAATGACTATCCAGCAATAAAAAGTACAGGGAGAGGGAAGCAAAGCATTGTGGGGTGAGAGGATGTGATTTAGATGGAACTGAAAGGAAAGGTCTCCAAAAAGCTGACACTTGAGCTGACACCTGTAAGAATTGAAGGAACAGGTCACCAGAGAGCCAGTCCAGTCAGTGGCAAAAATAATGCACAGGCTGGGTATAGCAGAACAATGCTTGTAATCCCAGCTATTTGGGCGATGCAGACTGTAGAATTGTGAGTTATAGAGGTCAGCCTGGGCAAAAAGGTAGTGAGACTCTGTCTCAGAAATAAAATACAAACAAAAGAACTGGGGCATGGCTCAAGTGATAGAACGCCTGGCTAGCACGTGCGAGGTCCTGGCTTCAATCCCCAGTACTATAAACTAATAACAATAATAATACTAAATGCACAAACCCTGCAGCAGGCATTTGTGGGTATGGAGAAGAAATAGGCAGGTGGTCAGGGCTACAGGTGTGAGAAGAGAGGGACGCAAGGACAGGTTTTATTGTATTAGAGGAAGCCACTGGATAGTTTGAGCAGTGGACAAAATGCAGTCAAATATTCTCCCCCATTGGTAGCAAAAGAAGGTGACAGAGGGCTTAAATGATTTTACCTAAGCAACATGGAGCTTCTTGCACAGCAGATGCACTCCAGAGTGCACACTCTCCCCATGTGCTGTGGCGTGTGCATTGTGCAGGCCATGATGCCATGCAGAAGTGTTCCATTACTAGGATGGACAGATACCAGTTTAGCCGAGCACACTGTCCACAGGCCCACGGATCTCCTGGTTCCCACCCTAGGCATGATGCACTCCCCCGGCTTCGACGGGAGTAGCAGCCTGAGCTTCCAAATGCTGATGAACGCAGACAGCCTGTACACGGCAGCGCACTGTGCCCTGCTCCTGAACCTCAAGCTCTTGCATGGCGACTACTACAGGAAGCGGCCAGCCCTGGCGCCTGGCATGATGGTGGGTGCACACTCCGCATAGGCAAGCTCTGGCCTCCTGGCAATGTGGCCAAGCATGGGTTCCCCAAGAGGATGCCACACTGCTCTGGGCCGGTCATGTCTGACAGCTATGGAGGGTGGGAAGGGGTGGTGCACAGGGCACCAATGTGCAGTTTGCACAAGGCAAGTGCAAAGTGAGTGACATTTATTATTCTGTTGGGGTAATCAACTTGGCTCCTTTGTCTGAGCAAGCCACTCTACCGTGTCCCCAGGTGTATGTGAGCCTAAATCTATGGATCCGTAGCAGGGAATGGACAAACACTTTTGCTTAATAAATTATGAATTCCTAAGGATGAGTGATGACCTCATGAGTCTTAAGTCAAGTCTTTCTTGGGGTGCCAGCATTCCTGTGGGGAGCACACTCCATCTCTGCTGCTGTTGGGGCAGTGAGAAGAGGAAGCTGTCAGAAGTAGTCATGTGTTTCTAACCCTCCCACCCCCCCAACCCAAAAGTGCAGCACCCCTAATCTTTCTGCAGGATGTCTGTCCAAAGATGTTATGAGTGAAAGGAATGCAGAAAGCCTGGGCTTCTCCATCTCCCATCTCCTCTCTCATCGCCCCTCAATAAAAAGCCCCAATTCAGGGAGAAGGGGATGATGGGAAGAGACATTTGCCTACAGCCCCTGCTCATGTGCCCTCTCTGCAGAAAGAGTTCATGAAGCAGGTGCAGAGCAGCGGGGTGCTCATGGTCTTCTCCCAGGCCTGGATCGAGGAGCTGTATCACCAGGTACTCGACAGAAACATGCTCGGAGAAGCTGGCTACTGGAGCAGCCCCGAGGACAGCAGCCTTCCTCTCGTTACCATGCTGACCGGTCAGTGGCTCCGCCCAGCCTGGGGGTGTCTGTAGGGCAGGAAGGCCCACACATCACAGCCTCTTTCTGAGAGGCAGTGGTGCACCCACAAAGCTTCCCTGGCAGTCGGGGACAATTCCATGGCAGGGTCACTGAGGCATCGCACAAGCATCCATGTCCTCCTTCTGTGAAGAGCCTTTGGGGCTCATGTGCCCCCCGGACAAGGACTAACTTCAGCACCTTCATCTGTTGGCATGAGGCTGTGGGCTTCTCTATGGATGTGTCGAACTTTCTGGGCTGAAGGCCTGGATTATTCCTGGAAACTCTCACGTGCTGGTAGAGGCTCTCTATTATTTCGTACTCCTAGGATTTGACCAGTAATGAGAAATTTAAACTTTGGCCTCATTCCCATTAGCTGTCCTTATAAGACCTCCTCCCTTCCCTTCCCAGCTATACCAGAATTTAAAATAATGCCAAATACTTGCTGACCCACTATCCGGCCTTTAGGGTCCAGAGAGTTTAATATCTTCTTCAGCTATTAGCAAGTTCACATGAGGACAGCACAGAGAACAGTAAGCAGTGTTATCATAGAGCAGTTTGGGGGGGGGTTTGGCAAAAGCAGATTTTCTTGGTTTTTGTTGTCTTAGCCAAAATGTCAGTTAAAGATAAGAAAGGACTCAAAAGTTTGGTCTGTTAATCAAAGCCTTAGCAAGTTAGATCTTCAGGGTCATTTGGTATCTGCTCTGAGATGCCAGACTCATCTCTGATCTGAATTGTCCCTCTCATGAGCTGGCAGAGTGGCTGAAGTGATAGAGCACCTGCTTAGTAAGTGCTGTGTACCCCAGTACCACCAAAAAAAATTGTTATTACGATTGTCCTCTCATGGTTCCAGCTGATGAGATATGTAGGGCTTGGCCCTGCACCAGCCCTCTCTGTGGCGTCCCATGTCCTGACATAGTTTAGCAGCTCTGCACCAGGCAGAAGCAGGACTGGGCAGGCCAGGACAGTCCTGCTGGGAAACTGATCTCATGACCAGAGGGTGTATCATGTGATCTGCACTTGGTCCTGGGGATTCTTATAAAGGTGGCAGAGTGGACTACTGACAAGTGGAACCCAACAATGAGGAATTTGGGATGAGGCACTATTTAAGAACAAAGCAAGGAGTTGAGGAACAGTGAGGTCTGTCCCCAAGTGCCAGAGTCCTGGTCATTGTCTGGCACTTGGAGTCTTGCTTCCAGACAGGATGCAAATGGGGAAGTAAGACTGTGTCTCAAGCCTCAGGACCCAAGACCATAGGACAGGTGCCCAGTTTGTATTTTGTTAATCACAATAGCATTTGTGTGCATTTGAAAAATAAGCGTTCATATATGTGAAGGACATTAATTTAGTTTACTTGTAAATAATGCTTGGTTTATATCTGTCTTCACAAACTCCCTTCAGTAGGGATGGAAGGTACTACCCAGAGCTTATAAGAGCTTAAACATGCAGCTTTAATTCTTTAATTTTCAAATGCCATAGTTCTGTCAAATATAATCTCTAAGAATCTCTTACCCAAAGCTTAATTAAAGGAATCATTTAGTGACTGTAGAAGGATTAACAGACAGTTCATGGTCGCCATATCCATCAGTCATCACTGTTAATCAACCTTGTCTTTATCATGGAACAGTAGACTCAATATAGCCAGGGGAAGGCTACTTAATTTTAGATTAATGGTGGAAAACATAGCTTCCTTATAAGAATTCACCAAGAAGCTTCTGTGAATCCATGTAGTAAATTCCAGATGTAAAGCGACAAAAGAAATGAACCTAGGGTTTGGAAATTTGATCTGATCTTTCCAGAATCAGCAGCAGCAGTCTGACCACCAAGTTACCATGGCATTACTAATGCCATACCAAAGCATTCTATAAAATTACAGAATTTCCATGCTTTAATAAACTGCATTACCTGAATTCATCAGTCCTTTGCCTAACACAGAACACATTATAAATAAAATGACAATTTCTGGTGAATGTCATTAGGCCATTTGAACCAAAGCCAAATTGATTTCCAAGAAACTGGCCTGTTGCCACATAGATTTCTACCTTTTTTGATCTTGTAATGTGTCATCCAGAGGTCTCCAGGCTTCTTGAAGTTTTTGTAAGAATCAAAGACATAGTAAAGCAGATTTTCAGCACCATGCAAAGAAGACTCATCCTATTGGGGTGAGCATGCAGTTCTAAACTCAGAATAAATTTATACTACTCTCCCAACCTTTCCATGTGTTGCATTCACCTATCTGAATTGATTCTAAATACATATGTTTTAAACCTTAATCCTTTCCTGTATACTGAGGAAAGTGGCACCTAGAGAATGGAGTGCCTACGAAGCTGCTAACAACAATGGTGGCAGAATTTAGCTTTATCTTTCTCCTTTTTTCCTTTTCTTTTCTTTGAATCAGGGTCTTGCCATGTGGCCCAGGCTAGCCTCAAACCCGTGATCCTCCTGTCTTAGCCTCCTGTGTGCTTGGATTAGAGGCATGCACCATGTACCCAGGCTCTTGCTTTATTTTTTTCAAATACAAAAACATACAATAGCATAATAGAAGAATCTTTTGACAATGAAAGAGAAAAGAACTGAATAAAACAAATCTATAATATTCCGATGAGAGTAGTTACACACTCAGTATATAGTAGAGGTGACAGATGTTTGTCGACAGGAAATGAACATTGTGCTGGCGTTTGTTTTTGACCGGAATGTCTCATTAACAGATATTGACGGCTTAGAGAGCAGTGCGATTGGTGGCCAGCTGATGGCCTCGGCCTCTACAGAGTCCCCTTTCACCCAGAGCAGGAGAACGGATGACTCCACCGTGGCAGGTAAGGTCTTGGATCCACACACACTGCCTGTGTTATCAGCAATCAAATTATCCTATGGCAGTATAAGTGAGGGAAGATTCTGTCTTGGTAGAAAAGGTAGAAATGGAAGTTATTTAGCACCGTCCAGCAAGCTGATGATAAAACATTCATTATTGATAGGCACAATGTGAATCAGGATCCAACAGTCCATTAAATTCTGTTTCCTGTCATAGAATTGCATGCAGCTCAATGTTGCTAACTGGATGGCCGGAGATCCCCGGTTCCTTCTTTGCCAGGTTGTGTGTGTCTCTGAAAACTGACCCACACCTCTCCTTGTTCTAGGTGTGGCATTTGCTCGCTACATCCTGGTTGGCTGCTGGAAGAACCTGATTGACACTCTGTCAACCCCCCTGACTGGCCGCATGGCAGGGAGCTCCAAGGGGCTGGCCTTCATTCTGGGAGCTGAGGGCATCAAAGAGCAGAACCAGAGGGAGCGCGATGCCATCTGCATGAGCCTGGACGGGCTGCGGAAAGCTGCACGGCTGAGCTGTGCCCTAGGTACTAGGCATATGGCGTCCCCTGGCCCAGGGGCTCCCTGTAGAATTCACTGGGAACGAAGTCATTTAGAAGGGGTTCTGCTGGTGAGTGGCCAGAGAACATGCGCTTTGTGTTCTCTAAAGGGGTCGCTGCTAACTGCGCCTCAGCCCTTGCCCAGATGGCGGCTGCGTCCTGTGTCCAGGAAGAGAAAGAAGAAAGGGAAGCCCAAGAACCCAGTGATGCCATAGCACAAGGTAACAGCCACAGGGCCAGAATCACCTGGTGCCCCGGACACGGTGTGTGTGCACCAGCACCCACTCATACTTGGTAACCAACACCAGTCCCTGTTCCGTGTGTGACACATAGTTGGCATGTGTCACTAACCGTGAGTCCCATTGGGCTGCAGGCTCAGTCTATTTTAAGTGAGGGTCCTAAAAAATACTAACAGTAGGTCTTCCGGAGAGGAGAGATATACTGGCCCCTGGTGACAAGGACAGTTCAGTTGGCTGCTAACAGAAGTGCCAGACCCACCTGGCTGAGCTGTGTCCTCATTCCATGTCAACAGGTGGCTCTGGGGCTTCATTGAGGTGAACATTTGAAGATCCCTCAGGTGACAGGGGGGAAGGCAGATTGCCCAGTGTTCCAAAGAGAAAAATCAAACAAACAGAATCCTCAAGAGGCTCAGGAAGAGTTTGATCTTGTTGAAGAAAAGCCTGAGTTCTGTAGACTTGGGAAAGGGTTGACTCTGAACCTGTTAAAACCAGTTTATCAGTGACCCTGATGACTGTCTAGACAGAGGGAAGGAGATGTCCTTCCTAATAGCATGGGAAGGTAAAAGGCAGGCAGCAAGCACAAAGAGAAACTCAAACTTGGCCCAAATGATGCTACTACTGTCATTCAGGTGTGTAAATTACTAGTCACAGAAATAGTTGTACATTTTTAGCTGAGAAAAACAATTTAGGTCAATGATCCTCAAACTTGAATTATATTTAGAGGTTGACTGGAAAGCAAAATACTTCTCACAGATCCCCAATGATACCTGAAAAAAATTACAATATTACCTAAGTATTGTTGTACAACCACGAACTACACAAAAATCTTTACCTTTAGTCAGAGTAGTGATACACACCTGGTAATCCTAGCATTCAGGAGGCTGAGGCAGGAGGATCCAGAGTTCAAGATCATCTTGTGCTACACAGTGAGGACCTATCTCAGAAAAAAAAACCAAAAAACTTTGTATTTACAATTTTGAAAACTCCACATAAACAAATAACAAAATGAAATCAGTATCACAGTCATGAGGCAAATGGTGTTTCACAAAAAATCACCTTGCCCTTTACAACACATATATGGTTCTCAGTCCCTTGAAGTTAGTTTGCTGTATTTCCTCACTCTAGACATCACTCAATGGTCCCACCAGATCCAGTGACATGATACCTTCATTCAAGGAGGACACTGCCATTTGGCCTTGTGTTGGCATTTTACATAACTGGCATCCCCAGTCAATCTGATCCTTTTGCAGTCAAGTGTAATAATAACCACTTAAGGAAGTGTTATTTGAATCTCACAAATACAAATGTGAACTCAGAGAGTGAAATAAGGTAATTTTCAGTTCTTCAGAAGTATCCTGGTGCTGAAAGTGTCCACCCAGTTCAGATAGGATCATCTAAAACCGTAACATTACAGAGTCTCAGAACTGCAGACTACCAGGACTCCTTCCACATTGCCAAGTTGAGAATAGGGAAGGGTGAAGGATCTGGGCACAGAGGCTTGGCTGGAGTCCGCATATGAAGGCTATCCACACTGCTTTGTCTGCCCCAGAGCCCATGGATGGCCAAGAGAAACTGCACCTACCAGCGCAGGATCCATTGATCCAGCGCCGCCAATATGTCCACTGAGCAATCTGCATGATGAACCACGATGACCTGCCACAGAGGCACTTGCTGTCTATGGTTTCATTTCTGCCCTTGCATGACCACACATTCTTTCGTTTTTATCCTGTCTCTCTTTTTCTGTCTCCCTCACTCTGACCATTATTTAATACATCTTTCTGGCACAGTGAAGCTAAAAGTGGAGCAGAAACTGGAGCAGATGGGGAAGGTGCAGGGGGTGTGGCTGCACACAGCCCATGTCCTGTGCATGGATGCCATCCTCAGCGTGGGCCTGGAGATGGGAAGTCACAACCCGGACTGCTGGCCACATGTGTTCAGGTGCATGATGGGACCTCACGCTGATGGCATCAACCCTGACTTGGGAAGCCTGGGGGTGAGGGAGAGGGTGGATTCAAAGTCTTCCAGCGCTTAAATACATTATGAGGTTTCACACTGAATACACTCCAAACAAGAGATAGAAAAAAGAGAAAAAAGAAGTCCCCACTGAAGGTACATTTTAGAGAACAGAGTGACAGAGCTAGATTTAGGGAATTGTGATTTATCAGCTAACATTGTCATGAGAGACAGATGTGTTATACCAAGGAAGCAGAACTGATTTTTTAAATAGTGGATGAAGAAGACCATGTAAGTGAATACTGTACAAATTTAAAACCTGGTCATGTGTCAGCAATATAACATTGCTTTGTGTTTATCAATGTCCTCTTTATTTAAAGAAGGATTTTTTGGATCGCATCTGTGATTATGTAAGGAACCTAATTAAAGATGCCTGCTTTCATTTAACTAGAAAAAGGAAACGTAAAAGCAGAATAGTATGTCCATGGAAAAGACCAGCCAAAAATTTGACCCTATGTCAAAGTGAAAAGAAACTCCCAGTCCCTAAGCATGTCACACAGTACCTGTAAGGTGAAAACAGAGCGATAGTTCCAGTCCCATTCCTCATATGACTAAGACAGAATCCTCTCTGAGCACTGGCATTAGAGCAGGCCCAGTACCAGGGAAGGAGCACTGCACAGGAGCAGGCCCAGGGTGGGTGCTGCTGTGTCTTACCTTTCTCCCCAGCACATACTCCAGGCCTCATGCCAAGCTGTTTCAGGCAGGTCACCCACAAGGCAGGAGGAGCTGGATGATTGCCCAGAGCACGAGACAGATCTGGATTTGGTTTGACATCACCAAAACAACATAGCCATGAGTGTTGGTTGAGTTGCAAAGAGAGACACTTGTAGAATGTTCAAGGATTGAACAACCAACCAATTGGAGAGGAATATGTGAAAGGACCAAGACGAATGAGTCTGTGACAAAATGGGTTATGACATGGAGGCTGGTGACCAGCTGCTCTCCAATGGTCTTATAAGGAAAAAAGAGAAAAGGCTCAGATATCACTCAAGCAATGTGTGGAGATCAAAAAATTCTCTTGACTATAAGGGTCAAGTGTGGTGGTATACACCTGTAATCTCAGATACTTGAGATGTAGGGATCGAGAAGATCATGGTTCAAGACCAGCCTGCCTAAAAAGTTATCAAGACCCACATCTCAATAAACAGGCTGGATGAGGTGATACTTGTCTTTGATTCCAGCTACACAGGAGGCATAGATAGAAGGATGGAAGTTGGAGACCAGCCTGGGCTAAAAAGTAAAAGACCCTATCTGAAAAATAGTAAAATAACTAAAAGCAAAAAGTGCTGCTCAAATGATAGAATGCCTGTCTAGTAAGTGTGAGGCCCCGAATTCAAACCCTGGTATGGCCAAAAAGACAAAAACAAGGATTACCTAATTCATCAGAGTGGATGACCCAACAGGTCCTTTGCCAGCACCTGGATTATTCTCAAAGAGGGGCCTCTATGTAGCATCTTGCTCCAAGTTAAGTTGGGAACAGACACTTTGGAAGTTGCACCACTTGTGACTCTTCTCTGTCTGCCATGTTAGGGAACTGCCCCCCAGTCCTGAACCCACCCCAAGATGTCTATATGGAACCATCTGGACTAGGCAGGCTGTGGCTTGGTGGAGCCCCATCGTGGCCCATGGGGTCTGTCCATCATGTACATGCTTATTCCGGGGTCCCACAGTAAGGAAATGCTTCCCAAGTCCTAGTGAGAGCATGATGTCGAGGGAAGGAGGGTCCCTTGGGGAACTAGCTCAAAAAGCTGGAGTGCCGACGCACGTGTGAGCTGGGCGCCATACAGTCGGGTGGCCAAGGCTCCATTGCCTATCTTTTTCCCAACTTGCAATGGGAAAGGAGAGTCTGAGGAACCCCTCACTCATCTCAAACCTATGTCGTTCATCTAAAAAATGTGTGTATATAAAAATCTATCCAGTGAGAAAATGGGAGAAAAAGGAAGGAGAAAGTGGGGTGGATTGCAGTATTGGCTGCATTCCTTCTGCATCTCACTGTGGCATGGACAGAACTGACCAGGCTGAGCCTCAGCACTTAACAGCTGCTTATCTGTGACTCATTCTAGGGTGTGTGAGTACGTGGGCACATTGGAGCACACCCACTTCAGTGACAGTACCTCACAGCCCTCTCTGACCATCAGCCAGCCCCAGAAGGCATCTGGGGGCTCTGGACTCCTTGGGGACCTTGAATGTGAAGGCTTATCTCAAGAGCAGAACCTGGAGCAGGGGCCCTCCCTGAGCACAGCCCCTGTGGTCCAGCCCCTGTCCATCCAAGAGCTCGTTCGGGAAGGCAGCCGGGGCCGGGCCTCAGACTTCCGCAGCGGCAGCCTCATGAGTGGGAGCAGCGCCGCCAAGGTGGTCCTTAGCCTTTCCACCCAGGCAGACAGGTGGGTGCCTCAAGTTCATGACCCCCAAGGATGCAGCAGGGGCATCCCTCACAGCACGTGCATCTGTCTGGTCCATCACAACATTGATCCCGGACAAGTTGATTTGTTAGTCACTTAAATCTCTTTCCATCTTTTTTAAGCACAGTTCTCCCCTACCACCACACTCATCCTTTGAATGAACCATTTTCTAGTGACTAAGTCTTCCAGGTCTGAGGCAGGCTTCCTGTGGTCAGGGATCTGTACCATCATTTTGGGAAATTTTACCCCACGGGGCCCTCCTTTCCTCATTGGTGAAACAGGGTCATTTTTAGAAATTCTCTGACAGTGTCATTGTAAAGTTAAATTAATTAGTACACTTACAGCAACTAGGACAGAGGTTGGAAGATAATAAAAACCCACCCTTTTTATGATTCTTATAATTATAAAATCCCCCTCCCCACATAGGAGTCTATGTTGTTTACTGATGCCAACAACCACATTAAGGTAAAGAGGGAAAATCAACAATTGTCCCAACTGTTTGGTGAGACTTCTTGATGGAAAGTGCTTTTGATAACCAGTTGCCCGTGGTAGCAACTCACCTAACTCCTCAGTTTATGGTCATTATGCCCCCGGGCCCCCCAGCACTGGCCCCAGGAAGTTTATCCAAAGGACAGACACGTAGGGGCTAGGAAACGTGAACAGAGTTCACTGGGCTGGGGCTCAGACAGTTCCAACTTCTTGTCCTGGCTTTGACACTCTCCAACTGCAAGGTCATGTCTTTAGAAATAGTTACCCCATGCTCAGTTTCTCTGCTATCCACGTACAATATGCACTTGTACTAACCAGGTCAGTAATCCTTTTTCCTGTTCATCCAACAAGTTGGCCATGAAAAGGGTTTCTGGAACCTGGGAAGTAGTGTGCAGGTATCAGGTAGGGTATAATTGGCACCTCTTCTGTCTTACTAGGAGAGAGGAAGAAGACACAAGTGATGGACCCGGAAACCAAATAGTGTCAAAATTGTAAATACAAAATAGGAAGAAAAATGTATTGGTCTCAATAACTGGTAAACATTTAGCCTACTAACTCCCATTTTGAAACTTGGCATGTGTCATCTTCCTCCTTCCAAGAGGCTCAGGATTCAGTTGCTATCAGAGACTCTCGCTCTTATGCAGCACATGGCACCCTGCCTTCTAACGTCGTCACAGGGTTGGAGGCAGGCCTCTGGATGTCCCAAGAGCAGAAGCAGGTTTGCTTGCTGCCTGCCTCAATTGGCCATGGGAAACCAATAGTGATCTTCACAGCCCTCATTCTGTGACCCTGGGATTGTCCTCTTGGACTGGCTATTGTGGCTCTTCCTCCTCCCTGAATCCTGCCAGAAATGTCTGAGTCCAGAAAAATGAGTGGGACATTTTTCTTCCAAGAGATACTTGGGGCCACATAACATTCAGGACTTGGTATGAGGCCAGTCCCCACCCTGAGGGCCTTAGGGGATCTGGTCTTTACTGCTTTTATATTTTACACAATACCAAGCCTAGCATTATACTTAATTATAGGCAAACAAAAGCCTCCTGATTAGTTTGCTGGGAAGTTTTATATACATCATGAAATTTCAGCTAATTCAAAGGATTCCATCCCCAATCACACAGTTTCTGGGAGCTGTGCTCTACAATCTTTTCACCAAACACTTAAGGAGTGCCTACCACCAGGAAGGAGGGTGCAAAATGTTTTTTTAAATATGTTTTATGCTCTTTGGACCAAAATCCCACAATTAGTGCACACTTGTGCACAGCAATCATAGATATAATAATTGCATAATTTGTCTACAATGTGGGCAGAGCATTTTCATTAATCACCTCAATGGAATTACCATAACCACCCTGCCAGACTGCCTTTGCTGACTTGCTTGCAGCTAACAGCTTATCTGTTTGCCCCCAGGCTCTTTGAAGATGCTACAGAGAAGCTGAACCTCATGGCCTTGGGAAGTTTCCTTTACCAGCTGAAGAAAGCATCACAGTCCCAGCTTTTCCATTCTGTCACAGATACAGTTGATTACTCTCTAGCAATGCCAGGTAATTCTTGCCCTGGACAAATGGCCGGCAGAGAGCAGGAAACACCCAGTGTCTGATGCCAGCAGCATGCTTAAAGATTCGTGTGCACACACCCCTCACGCAGTCACACTGGCGAAGCTCAAGCGCAGGCTTGTGTTTCGGTTCCAGTGTCTGGGGGAAGGGGTAGGTAAATGAAAAGAAATGACATTGCCACCAGTGCTGTGGGTGTTACCCCTGGAGGAGAACAGGGTTGTTCTCCCAAGGTCTGTACTTGGGATGCAGAAACTGTGCGGCCACTTCTTAGGGTACAGGTAGCAACCCCTGAGTGTGGGAGCTCCTCTCCATTTCACAAACCCTCTACTCATGTCAGTCAAGTCAGCTTGCAGAAGCAATCATGGATTCTGGAAGGGACAGTGGGAGAGAAAAATGGGTTGATGAGTCTTATCCTACTCTTAGCAAACTGCTCTCAAGGCTTACCCCATAAAAGATGGGCAGAATCACTGTCTTCACAGGTGAGACCAAGGAAAGAGGCCAGCCATGCAGAAGAGCAAGTAGATTTGTAACAAACTGCCTGAAAGTTCCAAATGGGTGGCAGGTTGTTCACATGGTGCCATGTCTGGGATGCAGTTTGGTTGGTGGCAGGCAGAACTAAACATCTGAGGTCCCTGCCAACTTAGGAATCTGAGGTTCCAAGTGCTGTGTGCTCGGCCTTTTCCAGCCTTCCCCCACTAGTTTTAATAGACTTTCATACATGAGCTCTATAAAACCAAACTCCTAGATACATCAAAATTCCAAAGCACCTGAGCCCAACTTTTCTTTGTGCTTGAATAGGTCATACTGTTTTTGAGTTTCAGCTTTTTGGCATTTATGGTCTCGCCTTCCTGTAGGAGAAGTTAAGTCCACCCAGGACCGAAAAAGTGCCCTCCACCTGTTCCGCCTGGGGGACGCCATGCTGAGGATCGTGCGGAGCAAAACACGGCCTCTGCTCCACGTGATGCGTTGTTGGAGCCTTGTGGCCCCGCACCTGGTGGAGGTGAGCCTGGATGGTGCAAAGAGGCTGGATTGACCTGCTCAGGAAATCCTAGCACAGAGTCCATACGAGGGCTGCAGTCAGTGTGTGGACAAAGAGCACATGGCCATAGCGCAGTGAGAACATTCACATCACCTGGTCAGGAACATCATTGTTCTCTGATTACTCCTCAGTGCATCTAAAGAATCACCCGGTCAGATGCTGGTGGCTCACACCTGCAATCCTACCTACTTAGGATGCTAAGATCAGGAAGATAGAGGTTTAAGACAGAAAGAAGAGAAAGTTTGTGAGATCCTATCTCACCCAATAACTGGTGCAGTGGCACATGCCTGTCATTCCAGCTACATGGGAGGAATTAGGTAGGAGGAGCACAGTCCAGGCTGGCCTGGGAAAAAAGTGAGACCTCCCCCCCGCCATCTCCAAAATAACCAGAGAAAGAGGGGCTGGAGGCAGGGGTCGAGCAGTAGAGCACCTGCCTAGCAAGAGCAAAGCCCTGAGCTCAAATCCCAGTACCACCACCACCAAAAGAGAAATAAATAAAATCACCCAAACTTCAGTACTAGACTGGTTTCACTATTACCCTCTTTTTTATAATTCTGCTGCTCAGTTAGGTAGGGACACAGCCAGTTCTTCATTCCTTGTGATAAGCAGAGGGTTCCGATCTGCCCATTTATACATATGTGTGACAGTGCCCCGTTCGCGCCACTGTCTCTTTTCTAATAACTTCTGTAGGACGGTGTCCTTTCTGTAAGGGAACCATAGGTCCTGGTTTTCCCAACAGAATTAATACTGAGGCCCTTCCAGTCTCCGAAGAAAAGCAGTTTGTGGAGTAAATTTTGTGACAACTCTGTCGCTATCTCAGCGCATGATGGCGCTACTTCTAAGCTGTCAGGAAACTGTTGCCATTTTATAGTGGTGACTATTTTTAATCACTTTTTAACACTTAACCTGGTAAGGATGTATGATATAATTAAGTAGATTTTGAATAGAATTCAGTAACCTGAGAATATTCTAGGGCAAAGGAGTAGAAAGTATCAATTCAGTAGTGGGGAGAGAGTATATTAGTTAGATATTACCCTGCGATAAACCACCCCAAAAACCTAGTGGCTTCTAACAGCAGCTGCTTATTTAGCTCATGAGTCCGTGGCTCAGAAATCTGAGGAAAGCCCATCTGTTAGTCTCTCCTGTAGACCAGCGTCTGCTCATTTACATAGCTTAGGATTCCCAAGAAAGCAAGAGGACAAACTCTGATCACAACTACTCCTTTAATTCTCTACTAATATAATTCTTGCTATCGTGCCACTGGCCAAAGCAGGCCTCACGTCCAAACCCAGGGCCGGTGGGGGAGAGAACCACAGAAAGGCATAGACACAGGGCTGAGAACCAATTAGAGCTCTAGTTGCAGTTGGCCCACCTCTCTGAGGGATAAGTGACAAGCCCGATCCTCATATGTTTGGGGGCATGGGTAAGCATGAGACCGTGAGCAGTTCCCAGGCTAAGTTCCAGTGGTTTTACAGTGAGTGTGTATTATACCATCCAAAAACAATGTCATGTTGCAGAAAAAGAAATTTGTTTTTCTAGAAACATTGAAGTGAAGTTGGAGTTGTGTCTGATAGGTCAAGTTTTGGTTTTTGATTTGGTTTGGCTTTGGCAGTACTGGGGTTTGAACTCATAGCCTTGAACTTTCGTAGCTAGGCCCCCAGTCCTTTTTGCTTTGGTTGTTTTTGGGATAGGGTCTCACATTTATGTCTGAGCCAGCCTGGACCACAATCCTGGTCCAGGATTTACACTTCCTGAGTAGCTGGGATAACAGGTGTTTACCACAACCCCTAGCATTCTACAGGTTGAAATGGGGTCTCATGAGCTTTTTACTTGGGCTGGGCTTGAACTGTGTTCCTCTCCATCTCCACTTCATGAGTAACTGGGATTACAGGCATGAGCTATCACACCTGGCCAGTTTGAGCCTGTATACCTAGCCAGTTGGTCAAATTTTTTTTTTAATGTAATTTAGTGTACAGCTTATCTATGCACTAAAATTCTTAGAATTTTTGACAATAACAGAATTCCGCTTCAACCTCCACTTAATGAAGTGGACCAGGAGATCCATAAGAAACCAAGAAACCCATCCTCCTCATCTGACATCCAGCTGGTGTTGTACTCTCTTGCATCATACAGGCTGCCTGCCATAAGGAAAGACATGTGTCTCAGAAGGCTGTGTCATTCATCCATGACATCCTGACAGAGGTTCTCACTGACTGGAACGAGCCGCCCCACTTTCACTTTAACGAAGCTCTCTTCCGGCCTTTTGAGCACATTATGCAGCTAGAGTTATGTGATGAAGACGTCCAAGACCAGGTCAGTTGACACAGGCTTCAGTGTCATCATTGCCAGAGCTGGCATCTCGTGAGTGTCCCCAAGCTTTGAATCTGTTATCTTCCCAATGGTCTTAGTTGAGATGGTTACAAAGGTAGCTTAAACGGTTTGGCTGGGAATCACCACATTAGTGATTGGTGGGAAGGGATTTGGACAGAGAGAATCTGGCTGTACTAGTCTCTTACATCTAGCCTATTCTCCTAAGTACCATACTCTCTACATGGAGACAAGCCAACTAGAAAGGACCTGGTATGGTGGCCTATACCTGTAATCCCAGCTACTTAGGAGGCAGAGATCATGGGGACCACTTTCCGAGGCCAGCTGAGTAGAAGGTTTGGGAGAAACCCATCTCAACCAATGGCTGGGAGTGGTGGCACACCCAGCTATGGGGGGAAGCACAAATAAGAGGATCATGATCCAGGCTGGCCTGGTCATAAATTGAGATCCTATCTCAAACATAATCAAAGCAAAAACTGCTGGTAGAGTGGCTCAAGAGCATCTGCCTAGAAAGCACGAGGTCCTGAGTTCAAAACCCCGCTGCCCCCCAAAATAAACAAATAAATAAAGCTTTCTTTGGTGGTGCTGGGGTTTTGAACTCAGGACCTCATGCTGGCTAGTCAGGTACTCACTCTACCATTTGAGCCACCATCACTGCCCACACATGAAGCATTTTTAACCGAAACTCTGGAAAGGGGATACAGACAATGTAAGAATTACAGTGATAGTGAATGGAGAGCTATTGCTTAGTGATGCAGACTTTCAGTTTGGGAAGATGAAAGTATTCTGGTGCACAACATTGTGAAAACACTTAACTCCACTGATCCATGTGAGCTACATATAATAAAGCGATCGATTTACACTCTGCATACTTTACCATGCAAAAAGAATTATGGGGGAACAGTCTAATAGTCCTCTCTCAGTAGGTGAAAGGACAACTAGGCAGCAGATAAGGATACAGAAAATGACCAATGCTACCCACCAGCCTGGCCTAACTGACATTTAGAAGGCTAGATCCAATAAAAGAACATACATTCTTTTCTTTTTTTTTTTTATTCATATGTGCATGCAATGCTTGGGTCATATCTCCCCCCTCCACCCCCCTTACCACCCACCCCGCCTCCTCCCTCTCCCCCTCACCCCCCCTATACCTGGCAGAAATTATTTTGACCTTATCTCTAATTTTGTTGTAGAGAGAGTATAAGCAATAATAGGAAGGAACAAGGGTTTTTGCTGGTTGAGATAAGGATAGCTATACAGGGCATTGACTCACATTGATTTCCTGTGCGTGGGTGTTACCTTCTAGGTTAATTCTTTTTGATCTCTCCTTTTCTCCAGTTCCTGTTCCCCTTTTCCTATTGGCCTCAGTTGCTTTTAAGGTATCTGCTTTAGTTTCTCTGCATTGAGGGCAACAAATGCTAGCTAATTTTTTAGGTGTCTTACCTGTCCTCACCCCTCCCTTGTGTGCTCTCGCTTTTATCATGTGCTCAAAGTCCAATCCCATTGTTGTGTTTGCCCTTGATCTAATGTCCACATATGAGGGAGAACATACGATTTTTGGTCTTTTGGGCCAGGCTAACCTCACTCAGAATGATGTTCTCCAATTCCATCCATTTACCAGCAAATGATAACATTTCAGGAACACACATTCTTGCCAGGTGCGGTGGCTCACTCCTGTAAAATTTATGGGATGCATCCCTAGTAGTACTTTGAGGGAAAGTATAATTGTATAAATGTTAATATTAGAAAAGAAGAGAGACATAAATAAACAAATTCTCAGATGGGCACCAGTGGCTCACCCCTATAATCTTAGCTATGTGAGAGGCTGAGAGTCAGAGAATTGCAACTTGAAGCCAGCCCAGGCAACTATTTCATGAGACCCCATGTCTACAAAACCAGAGCAAAATGGGCTGGAGGTGTGGCTCAAGTGGTAGAGCGCCTTCTTTACAAGTGCAAAGTCCTGAGTTCAAACCCTGTGCCCCCCCCAAAAAAGACAAATTCTCATGTTTATGGTCAATGGTTTGTGACAAAGATGCTGTTGAAATTCAGTGGGGGGGACAGGATATTATTTTCAACAAATAGTATGTGCATCCTTACCTCTCACCAGCCACAAAAAAATAACTGAAAATGGGCCAAGAGTTAATGTGAGTTAAAAATAAATATGGATATTTCTAGAAGAAAACATAGAAGGCCATCACTGAGAACTTGGGTTAGGCAAATATTTCTTAGAATTGATATCAGTCACATGACCCTTAAGAAAAATTGACTGGGCACCAGTGGCTCACACCTAGCTACTTGGCAGGCTAAGATCAGGACGATCACAGTTCAAGGTCAGCCCAGGCAAGTAGTTTGTGAGATCACATCTCCAAAATAACCAAAATGGACGGGAGGTGTGACTCAAGCGGTAGAGCACATGCTTTTCAAGCATGAAGACCTGAGTTCAAGCCTCAGTCCTACCAAAATGCAAAAAAAAAAAAAAAAATCGATGAAGCAATCTTCATCAAAATTAAAAACTTTTGTTCTTTGATACAATTAAAAGATAAAAATAAAAAGACAAGCCCAAGATTGTGGAAAAATATTTGCAAATCACATATGTCAGGAAGGATCTGAATCTATAATACATAAGAATATTAGCCTCTCAGTAACAAAAGACAAGACACATGTCCAATTTAAAAAATAGCAAACTCCTTACGAACAGTTCATAAACAACATTAGATATTAGTGAAATGTAAATGTGTGCAAACTGGCTGCTCATGGAGAAGACTCTTGAGTGAGAGTTTTTTCTCTTGCACTATAATTAGCTCAGAAATAAGGGCAGAGGAGCACATTGCCCTTCCCAGAAATTCTCCTGTCCCTGTTAAATGCCATCTCCTTTGCCTGTGCCAGGTGGTCACATCCATCGGGGAGTTGGTGGAAGTGTGTCCCACACAGATCCAGTCGGGATGGAGGCCCTTGTTCAGTGCCTTGGAAACAGTGCACAGTGGGAACAAGTCAGAGGTCAAAGAGTACCTGGTTGGCGACTATTCTATGGGTAAGAATGGTTGCTATGGAGCCTTCATTCTTCGTGCCAAGTTCTATGCCATTGAAAGGAACTGAAAAGGGAAACCAGGCATTTAGTGTTTCATCAGCAGGAAATATGATGTAGCTAGGATCCGACGTCTAGGATCCAACGTCTAAGTCCTACGAACAGGCCAAGAACCCTGAATCTCTCTGCGTCCTGTTCTTGCTGACAAGTGGACATTGCTAAGGATAGAGAGGAAAACATTACTGGTTGAGCATCTGAAAATCCAAAATCTGAAATGCACCCTAATCCAAAACATTTTGAGTGTTCCACAGCACTTCGGATTTCAAATTAAGGAGGCTCAATCAGTGAAGTCCATGCAAATCTTCCAAAAATCTGGAAAACTCTAAAATCTGAAATATGCCTGATCTCTATATCCACTTGCTAGTGGGAAACAGAAAGGTGTTATATGCAGGGAAGTCAGAATTAGGACCATGGGTCCTGGCTGGAAATGGATGGGCATGCCCAGAGCCCAGGGATATTGTGCCAGGGGTCCCAGGTCACCAACACTCAGAAACCCACCAGAGAGACTCATTCATGGGACTTAGCAGTTGTGCTAGGATTTATTAGACAGATCACATTTATCACATGATTCACGACAAGGATTTATGGTAGCAGTGTAGTAGGGACACCGGCAGGTCCTGAAGTGAAAAGACAGATAGACTGTGAAGGGATCCATGTGTGGCTTCCTCCTGCCCTTACTTGAAGGGTCACACAGAGCTCACTGTTCCCCTCAGGCAAGCTGCAGCAACATGCTGACAAGTGTCTACCCAGGAAGGCAGTTAGAGACCCAGATGGGAATTGGCCCCAGGGCCTCGATCCCTAACACATACCAAAATTTCAGACAAAGGAAAGCCAGTGTTCAGCATCAACCATATTGTTTACACAAACAGTCCAGGCACACTTACCACTTTATGAGGTAACTATTGCCAGGGCATATTCTGAGAACTGAGTTCCCAGATGCCAACACAAGGCCACCTAATTGCCAAACTGAAAGCAGACTCTCCTAGGCTTAGCAAATCTCAGGCCTCTTTTCTGCACAGGAATGAACAACTTCATATATGCAACCAAAGGTTTGTGTACACAGTCCTTCCTGTAGATGTTCCACAATGTTCTGTGCAGTAGCATTCCGGAGAACACAGAGACGTGCACGTGTGGCAGCCCCACCTTCCTCCAGCTTCCCCTCCACAGTCCTCCCAGCTGTCTTCATAGCCATCCTGCAGCTACAAAATGAGCAGGACAGCAGCCCAGCCAAGCCAGAAGTCCAGTCCAAAGACCCAGACATTGCTCCAATTCATCTCTTCCAGGGCTCTTGGAAGGTGCTAGAAGTATTGGCAACCTGCTGGCTTTCTTTCTTAAAATTCTGTGATCTTTGTCCCTCAGGGAGAGGCCAAGCTCCAGTGTTTGATGTGTTTGAAGCTTTTCTCAATACCGACAATATCCAGGTCTTTGCTAATGCAGCCACCAGTTACATCATGTGCCTTATGAAGTTTGTCAAAGGTCTGGGTAAGTGGAATCAACTTCCATGCCTCACAGCTGGAAAGGAGACCTTTCCAGGACCATAGGGTCCAATCTCTAGGAAAGAGATCGCCCACAACAGGCAGTCATCCCATGGTATAAGCACATAGGTTGAGCTGCACACTTGGGCAGAGAGCTTGGGTGTGTCGGGATTGGTATTTTTCCATTGTGTCTATGGACTGTCTCTCATGATACAGTATATTTGCAATCTATACATTATTTTATACCAACCTCTTTTTTCAATCTTAGACTATTCATTGCCATCAATAAATAATTGCCCTTAAATGTGAAACTATTGTCCTCAGTGCCACCTGAATTTGATATCTTGGCTCCTAAGAAAAAGTTAATACCTCCCTAGGCCTTATTAATTGTAAAATATGTTTTGGATATGTAGATGACCCTCTTCTTTGAGGCCTAGTGTATTCCAAGTAGTGTCTTAGTTGTTTCTACGCTTAATTTAGGAACATTTAACAGTCTGAAGTGTTGCTGTACAACACAACCTGCAAGACCTGACTTTTGTATAGCATGGGTTTACCGGGGGTCACTGAAATGAAGGGGCAGTTAGTTAAGCCCCAAGCTTCGACACTTGAACTTTTGACAGATGGAGAGCTCTTAGACTTGGAGCCTGAGAACCTTGAACATAGGGAAAACATAATTATTCTTTTATACACCTGTCAAATAACTGATAATTCTTTTGTAAAATAAAACAAGCCATAAAGAAGTTATGCAACTCATGTCCCCCTTATTTTTGGAGTAGGAATAAAATAAAAGTCTCAGGATTTACTTGTCATGAGTTTGATCTACAGACAATTCTCATTATAAGTGCCTCACCCTCATCTGTCCTGTTCTGCAATAGTCCCCCTTTGCTAATGGTATGATGTTCCGAGACTCCCCCAATGGATGACTGTGACCATGGACAGCACCAACTCCTATGTATTCTTTTTCTCCTATACATACAAGCTGATGATAAAGTTTAATTTATGAGTTAGGCACAGTAAGAGATTCACCAAATATTCAGACCATGGCAGAGAGGAAAAATGTAATAAATTCTTCTTTGGATAGTTAGACACTAGTGTCTGTGGTAGAGATGCCTAGTAGCATAAAAGAAATTTGAGATTTTGCCTTACAAACTGGGGACTGGAGAGCCAAATAAAAGATGCCAAATATCAGTGTGCATGTGGCAGGTAATTTTATTTTATTTATTTATTTTTGTGAGACTGGGGTTCAGACTCAGGGCTTCCCACTTGCAAAGCAGATGCTCTACCACTTGAGCCACACCTCCAGTCCATTTTGCCTGGTTATTTTGGACATGGGGTTTCATGAACTATTTGTCCAGGCTGACCTCAAACCATGATTCTCCTTATCCCAGCCTCCCAAGTAACTAGGATTGCAGGCGTGAGCCACCCATGCCCAGCTTATGGAAAGTATTTTTAAAAGACAGGTTCTCTTCTTCTGTGAATTATAAAATGGATTCGTTGGTGTGGGGCTTGAGGTCAAGGGCAGAGCCCAGTGCAGGCACACTGCCTTTGTACCACCAAGCTCCAGGCAGTGACAGTCACATAGACTCAGATGCTTCATACACACACACACACACACACACACACACACACGCAAATTTGGAATACCTGCTATAATCAAGAGGATGGGAAGTGGATTTATTATTAATTCTCATCTGCCTATTTTAACATGAATTTGACCTGGTTTCTGTTTTTACATTGTAAGTTTTAATAATGTAAACCAGGGCCTAATAAACTGTGATTCACAAGCCAAATCTGACCTGCTGACAGTTTTTACAAATAAAGTTTTATTGGAACACAGTCATGCTCATTGGTCTATGGGTGCCTTTGTGCTACAGCACAGAGTTGAGAAGTTATGATACAGACAGTAAGTATGGCCTTAGGTATTTACTATCTGGCCTTTTATGAAGAGTTTGCCAACCCTGATCTAAAACATAAGTTTTTGTTTTTTTTTTTAAAGAGAAACATGCCTCATTGCTTCTGAATCTTAACGAATGCCTAGTAATTATGTCTGTTTACCCACAGGGGAGGCTGCTTATTGCTACAATTGTAGGCAATTAGAAACAATTACAGTATGTGGAATGATTTTATTAGAAATAGATCATTATGTGAGAAGAAAATTATAATTCTCAATTATTATTTGCCTATAGAAAATTCTAGATATCCTTCTACAGATACGCTAAATTGCTACATGTGCACAAAACCAAATTCATTTCAATTCAATTAAAGAGACTCTGTCTCCAAACCTCAAATGTTTAGAGTCTTCCCAGAGTCCTCGGTTATCATCCTCACTTAGTGCTACACACTGGCAGCAAATAACGTCCTTTTCCAAACAGAGAGGTCATGTGGTTCCTTCCAGCCCATCTCAGGGCGTTTCTCTAGGGTATCCTGTCACCAAAGTCTCAGAAGTCACATCCACCAACAGCAGGGCTCAGAGAAATGAATCACGGTGTGCCTACATACAAAAGAACTCTGATCAGCCGCTAAAAGGGGGAAATGCCCGAAAGGACTTTTCTCAGGGTTGTGCGATCTGATGTCATTTTCCCTCTTTTTTCTTTCTCTCTCTGTTTTGGTAACTATCTGGTGAACGTATGCTATGCAAGTGAGCAGGTCTTCTGTTGGAAGAGGAAGGCAGGGGTAATTTTGTTTGTCTCTGTCTCCCATGCTGTCCTAGGGGAGGTGGACTGTAAAGAAATAGGAGATTATGTCCCTGGGTCAGGAGCCACATCCACAGACCTGTGCCTCCCTGCCCTGGATTATCTCAGGCGCTGTTCTCAGGTAAGCGAGGCCCACTCTCAACTCCAAGCCTGAAACCCGCCTCCAATGGTGTCACACAGTGTAACCGAATGTCTTTTGTCAAAGCCTAGGAGAGACGCCTTCATCTCTCCCACCTTGCCTCCAAGACTCCTCCATTTCCCCACTGCTCTGGCCCCTCTGTTTCCTTAGAGGTGGGTTAGGAGAAGGGAAAGCCACAGTCTGGTGTCCTCTTTGCCTGTGGACCGTCCTCAGGGATACCCCATCGGTGGACATCCCTGAAATTTTCATGTTTCCCTTGCTAGATTTATAAAAGTCTGTAAAAAGCATGTATATAAATTATTGAAAAATTATCCACTGGTTTTTTTTTGTGGCCAATGAATATTCTATTTCCTCTGCTTCATGGAATAAGCATCTCTTATAAACTACTATATAAATCCAAATCACAAATAACTAAAAGTTTTATACTCCTGAGAGCTTTTCTAGTTTCCTATGTCCCCTTGAACATTGGTGCGCCCAAAGTGCAGCATTTTCCAGTATATAATTTGTGTTTGGGGTATTTTTCTTACTTAGTTGTTGGCCAAAATCTACAAAATGCCCTTGAAGCCAATATTCCTTAGTGGGCGACTTGCTAGCTTGCCTCGAAGACTTCAGGAGCAGTCAGCAAGCAGTGAGGATGGAATCGAATCTGTCCTGTCGGATTTTGATGATGACACTGGTAAGTTAACTGAGCAAGGTTATTCGCTAGGTTCTTAGGTCCAAAAGCTTAAGCCATAAGTTATCTGATGCATCCTAAGAATGTTCACCCATTTTTACTGGGTTTCCCTAATTTTATCAGAACAAATTTACCAAAAGTTGCTGTGACTTTCTAAAACCAACACTTAACACTCATTGCCCACACCCACTGTTTTTGGATGGATACCTCCAAGTAACTCAGCTCAGATTCACAGGTTCTACTAAATACAGTTTCCAACTCTGATTTCTCTTGAGTTTAGCAAATTGGGACAGTTGCATTGGTACTTAAATTGTCTGAATTGTCTTTAATGGCTTGTAAGAAACACAATCACCATATAATTACTTCCTGCATGACTATTTGGTTAGAGACTGGGAAAATTAAGCCATTACCAAAGAGCAAATCTATTTGAGACTAGTGACAGTAAAGGCTCACAAAAAGAATAATTTTAAAGAATTTGTTTCACATTAGATCCCAGGTAATCTCCTGTGGCTTAAGAATTCAATGTAGTAACTCAGTAGTTTTCTGGTGGATTAACTCATATTCATGCCTGCTGCCTACTGTCTCAGAAGACCCAATTCTCTTCCATCACTGGAAATGGAAATAAGGCCCTGAAATAGGCCTAGTTTCTGGGCACAGATTGTTTCAAACTTTTGCAGAAGAACTTTGGGGATGGGTAGTTTGTTTTCCATTTTTGTCTTTATTTTGCTGTTACAAATTCATTTATAGGTGTGGCTATAAATTTACAATTTTGATAGAGAATATAAACAGTAAAATCTCACGAATTCAGATTAGTTGAGAGAAAGAATTATAGGAAGAAATAAATATCTAACATAGAGAACAGTTAAACTTTTGGAAATTGGCTAGATGTTCTTTATGGCAGTTTCATTTCAATTAGATAAGAATAATTTTTACTTGGCATTTGTAAGTAGAGGTTGATGTTGTTTATCTATAATACATTCTTTAAGAGCATTTATATATTCCCCTTCCCATTTGTGCAAATCATTAATGCATTTTTTAGGAGGCCCATCTTATGGATAAAGCTCTAGCAAGCACCAATCTAATATTTCCCACATCAAGGATTTAAAGTTACACTTATGTATGAAATGAAGTAGATCAGAGAAAAACAACAACAAAAGCTTTAGGTTAGTATTTAAAACTAAACAGTCCTCAGCATTGATCTGTTCTCACATACTATCTTCTGACTTCCAAAGGCATATAATTACTTTCTCCCACCCAATGGGAAACATACACAAAACTAGACAGAATATTCAAAATATATACATATATACAAAACTAGACATAATGGTGTCACTCACTTTCAACTGTTATCAATTTATAGCCAGTCCCAGGTCTTGTGTATTTTCCTTGTTTTGGTGCAAAATCCAAAACATGGTAGCATTTCATCTTTAAATATTTCAGCACTTGTTCTTTAAGGATAAAGTGGGAGATAGAGATCCCTACCACTTCCCCTTGGGATCTTTGGAAATCCAATTCATATAAAAGCTGATTAACCAGAGAAAAACATAAAAGTGTGCTAGGTGGGGTGGCTCATGCCTGTTATTCTAGCTACCAGCGGACAGAGATCAGCAGGATGGTGGTTCAAGTCCAACTTAGACACAAAGTTAGCAACACCCCCATCTCAACAAAAAAATCTGGGCATGACAGTGCACACCTGTCATCACACCTAAAGAGGAGGCATAAATAGAAGGATCCTGGTTTAGGGAGACTTGGTCAGAAATGCAAAGCACTATCTGAAAATGAACTAAAAGCAAAAAGGAACTAGGGTGTGGCTCAAGTGGTAGGGTACCTGCTTAGCACATTCCAGGCCTTGAGTTCAAACCCTAGTACTACCAAAAAAAAGGAAGGAAGGAAGAAGAGAGGGAGTAAAAGTTTTATTTTACATGCATATGGGGATCTTCACAAGCAAGTAAAGTCCAAATGATCAAAGCTTGATGCTTTTATACTTTCTAGACAATGGACAATAAATTTATGAAGGAATGACAGGACAAATGGATCTCCACACTAAGGAATTCTAGGGATGTTAGTAAGAGATACGTGGGGTGGGAGAAGAAGCTAGAAGAAAGTAAAGATTACTTTAACAACATTGTTCATTCAGGGTCAGTACAGCTCTAATCAAAACTTTTGGTGGTCAAGACAGTTTTCTAACCTTGGTACATGAACAAAGTCCCTCCCCCAAAAATGTATGGCCTGTTGCCTATAGGAAAAGTCAGTCTTGTGGCCCTTTCAGAAGTTACAGTTTCTCAAGTGATTTGAGCTGGAAGCAACCAATATACTGTCTTGGCATATTTTGAGGTGGTGCATCCTTAAGTCCTTCAATAACCTGAAAATGAACAATGCTGTGTAGTAGACTAAGGGATTGACTAAAGTGATAAGGATATTTTGTCTTTTTGCTCCCAGGAAGTCTGACAATCATTTCAATATAGAATTCACATTGCCTTTTTATAATGGGGAGAAAGAACAAATTAGAGTATTTGTTTCCTTTGATTTTGTCAGAACATGTAAGTTGTAATCTATTAGACCCTGAGAGCTAACACCGGGGTGATGTCTGGCATCACTGCAGCCACCGAGTGAGAGACTTGGCAGTTCACAGGTAGTGTTCACTCAGGTCTTGCAATGACTCTTCACCATGTGTAACTGAACTTCACGGAGGTCTGCTGTTTGGGCTCCAGGTCTCATAGAAGTTTGGATCATCCTGCTGCAGGAGCTAACAGCAGCTGTGTCCAATTGTCCACGTCAGCACCAACCCCCAACCTTGGATCTACTCTTTGAGTTGTTGCGAGATGTTACCAAAACACCTGGTAAGTATGTCCGTGTGTTTGGTGTGAGGGTGGTGGGGGTTGCTGTATGTAAATTTTTTCAGGAGGGCGTTTCAATGGCTGTCCACCTGTTTTCACTGTTTCCTGGACTTAATGCAGATCTTCACCTAGAAAAGGTGCTCGGTAAATATGTGATGAATGGCTCCGATACCACAGTGTCTAAAGTACGTCCCTGGTATTGATAGTATTCCTTCTGCCAGTCCATTTACAAAACCTGTGTGGTGCTCAGTTAGTTGGCTGTGCTGGTGACCCATGTCAGTTGGGCTGTAGTGACAGTTCTCCATGAGTCAGTTGACTTCGTCATGTTCCATAATCGCAGCCTTCCTCCTCTGTCAGATCTTGCAGTACAGGCACCCCTCCTGGACTATCAGTCAGGCTCACCAGGTCTGCCCCTGACCTAAGCCACCGTCCCCTCAGGACAGGCAGAAGTAAGACAGCAATATCTTGTTGGTAGAAAGGTCACAGGGGATTAGACTGGGACATTTTGTACTTGCCCAGCACAATAGGAAAAGGAGAGCCCTTTGGAAAGTTATTTCTTGTTCTGAATTAATCACATTTAGCATACATTCTCCATCCCAATTTTTCCAAGGTCAAAGACGTTTTCTTTAGAAATACTAGTTTTTAGTAACAGGATCAGGACCTAAAATGAAACCACTAGTGCTTCCATGGTGAAATGAAAAGGTCAATATTCATCATTATGAAGATGTGATAATTCATACTGTTTCAAAATCCATTGCAAAGCTTATACTGGAATTTTAAAAAGCAACACTGTAGCTACTTTCACATGTTAAAAAGTTGAAAACCTTCCATCAAAGAACAAGCAAGTCTTTTATAGAATTAATCATATGCCACTCCTAAATCTGTCTCACTGATAAGCACCGTTTTGCTTTGGCATTAATTGCCACTAAATATGTACGAAGAACATTTAACCCAATAATTCTCCTAGGAATATAGTATGGAAATTTAAGGGAATTAATAATAATGAAAATACAAATGCATATGTGTTTGTTTAAACATCTTGAATACTAAAATAAAAATTATAGACACCCTAAATGGGAATGGTTAAGTAAATTATGCAGACAAATGGGCACAATAGTACATGCCTGTAGTCCCCACCCTCCAGAGGCAGAAGCAGGAGGATCACCAGTTTGAGTTCAGCTTGGACTGCATAGCAATTTCGACGCCAGCCCAGGCTACACAACAAGCCCTGTCTTAAAACTAAACAAAAAAAGTTTGTGGGCATTAAAATGAATATTTATGAATAATATGCAATAACATAGTAATTGTTTATAAGGCATTACATTAAAGTTTATATATATAAAGTACTATTTCAGGTCCATAAAATTTTGTGCATTTATAAATGCACATACACACATGTACTCAAAAACTATGAGAAGGAATATATCGAAATGTGATTGTATTTGCAAGCTAAGTGTTTTTCTTCTTTGTATGTGCATATAATTTCCATGTTCATTATAAAAAAGGAATCTTTCTTTTAAAATCAGAATGTTAAAAATCTGTAACATTTCTTTTTTTTCTGTTTATTCATATGTGCATACAATGTTTGGGACATTTCTCCCCCTACCTCCGCCTCCTCCCATCCCCCCCACCCTGCCACCTTCTCTCCTCCCCCACCCCCTCACTACCTGGCAGAAACTATTTTGCCCTTATCTCTAATTTTGTTGAAGAGAGAGTATAAACAATAATAAGAAAGACAAAGCGTAAAAATCTGTAACATTTCTTTAAAGAAGCACAAAGATTTTCCATATAGCACTGTCTACAGAGCAAAAATTAGAAACATCTTAACTGTCCATCAGTAAGAAAAATGGATTGGTGAACTGTTGCTTATAAATGTAGTGAAAAAAGTATATAGCAGAAAGACATTTAAATTTGTGATCAATATGCAGACCAAAGTTTACATTATCCCATTTATACAAAAGTAGTTTTTTTAAAAAACCCAAGCCAGTGGGGCATGTACCTGTAGATCCGGGTAACTGGGAGGGAGGGAGAGGTCACTTGAGCCCAGGAGTCCAGGACCAGCCTCGACAACACAGCAAGCCCCAGTCTGTTAACAGATAAATACACGAACTTGTATTTCTTTAAGTTCCATGAAAGTAGAGGTACTTAGATTTGAAAAGCATATGTGTGTCCATGTGTTCCTTTTCTAAGGACTAGCAGTTGATTGATATTTTAGCTCTATCAGTTTTTGAGTTTTTATGAGTGCATCCATATATTACTTATATAAATAAAATCATGCAGATGCAAGGAAGAAAAATGTCAGTTATTCTCAGTCTGTGTTCAACCCTTTCGAAAACCGTGTCAATGCTAAGTCTCGGCAAGGCGCCTCCCTCTTGGGATCTCAGTTCTGACTGTGACCTTTCTATTTCAGGACCTGGGTTTGGAATCTATGCAGTTGTTCACCTTCTCCTTCCTGTGATGTCCCTGTGGCTCCGTCGCAGCCACAAAGACCACTCCTACTGGGATGTGACCTCTGCTAACTTTAAGCACGCCATTGGACTCTCCTGTGAGCTGGTGGTGGAGCACATCCAAAGCTTCCTGCACTCAGGTGGCTGTTGTGCTGGAGCAGGGCACCACTGTCCAAAAGTGCTTAGTGAATACTAAGGCAAATACCTTTGTCCCGGGAATTATTAAATAGAACCACATGGTCAGTGCCAGCCACCTGATAGTGCGTGTACATATCATTAAAGGGAGAATCGTGTCCCCTTAGAATTATCAAACCTGGTACTCTGAATACATGCATAGTTGAAAATATAATGCAGAATAGCAGGTCTAGCATGGCTGTGCATTAGGAGAGGGAAGCAAGTTCAAGTATAACGTAAACTTTAAAAGGAATAAATATGCTTGCATCAGGAAGTCAGGAGGATCAGATCCCGTGTCCCTCCTCATCTGGAGAGGCTTAATGAAGCAGTTGGGACTTTAGAAAAAGGCTTCGATTGTGGGTAAGCAGTTACTTAACAGACTAGGAATGAAGAGAAGTTTCTTAATACTGGTGGCACTTTGAAAAAGATGTGCAGTGTGGAGTGGAGAAAATGTTGATGACAGCAGATGGAGAGGGACCGAAGAGTAGGGGAATTATGTTAGCTTTGGTACCCATGGAGCCACCTTTGTGAAATGTAGATTCTGTCTCATGATCGCCCATGGGAAGAGCTGTTAGTCTGGGGGCAGAAGAAACATGGCTATGAGGCACAGGGGTTAGAAATGGAAGGAAAGGACATGGGAAAGTGTAAGGCAAGAGGTCCCCTGCTGGGGAAGATCAAGAAACTAAAGGAGACCCTGATGGAGAGTCACAAAGCAAAGATAAGAAACATCATCTCTCCTAAATTTAGGAAGGACAATTTCCCTTACAAAATAGGAACATTAATGGAGAAGCAAGCAAGGAAGTCTTCCCATGAGAAGCTGGTGACTGTACTTTGGGAGTCAATGCTTGTGACAAGGTCATTGCTTCCCTGGAGGATTCCACTGAAAATTGTTTCTGTGGCATGGCAAGGACCTTGAAGGGAAGTGTGCAGATACATTCCTTGCACTGGGGAAATAGAGTGACTTTTAGAAATTTTACTTCTTTAGTCCAAGAATAGTGTGAAGACAGACACCTGATTGATAAGGTGCAGGAAGATCACTTAATTCAACTTAATTGGGTTATCAATTAAGTTGAAAAGGAAAGTATACTTTTTCCTTTTCAAAAAAGAAATTTTTTTTACCAACTAATATTTAAGTTATGTATTCTATTCTGTTTAAGTAGGTTATTTATTTAACTTGAAAAATACAGCATATAAAAGTGAACTACATTTCATCTTGCTATATCTAGAAATGGATGAAATGAGCCAAAATTTGCTTGAGAGTTCTCCATTTTTGGGGAGTCCTGCCATTTTTCTGTTCTTTCCCCAGGGTTTTTATGTGTCTTTTTATCACTCAGACATTGCTCCTTTGCTGTAGATGGTCATTTCTGTCTCCCTCCTTACTCTAGAGTTGTAAACCTTGGTCTCCCTTCTTCCTGTAGACATCAGGTATGAAAGCATGATCAACACCATGCTTCGGGATCTCTTTGAGTTGCTGGTGGCGTGTGTGGCCAAACCAACGGAAACCATCTCCAGGGTGGGCTGTTCCTGCATTAGGTGAGAAAGAGGTGTCCCGACTCTCTACAGAGTTGGGGTTTTACTATGAAATCCAAGGAAATTTAGTTATCTTTTTGTGGTAGCAACTACTTTTTGGATTGCCTTTTAAAGTAAAAATGATCTTTGGAAATAAAAACGTGTACTAGTAACTCATCATTTCAGTGTTCAGTCAGTAAATATTTATTGTATAAAGCATTCTGCAAGGTAACCTGGTACATAAGAAGTGACATAAGCTAAGTCCCAAATCCTACAGGAGCTTCTTGTCTACTAAGATGATGTAAGAGCCAGACATAGTGGTGCACACCTGTAAGCCCAGTGCTCCAAAAGTGAAAGCGGGGTGAGGGGGGGATTGCAAGTATAAGGCCTGCCTGAGCTAATAGCAAGACTCGGTCCGAAAAAAAAAAAAAAAAAGCCCTCCTAATAGAAGATCAAATGAAGAATAACAACAGTGAGGAGTGAATGGTGAATGCCAAGTATATATATAAAAGCCTCATGGAAGTAATTACACTGGTCAGATCCTCCAAGTGAGGGAGCGTTCCATAGATGGGGACTTTCCAAGCAGGAGATAAAAACAGTAAGGCTGCTTTGTTTTGCATATTTATTATTTGTTGAGGAAAGGTGGAAAATGGGCCTAGAATGGAAAACTTAGGACAGAATAGGTCCAAGTTTAAGCGTTGGCCTGTCTGCAATGGGGATCTGTTGATATTTCCATGTTAGAATGGTTTAGAAAATAGTTTCAGAAGGCAAGAGACAGGAAGACTGACCAGACAAGTACTGGGCATGCATCCAGAGGGCCTAAATTTTGTGGCTATAAAATGTATGGATTCAAGACATCTCTTGGCAGGTACGTTCTCGTGACAGCGGGCCCTGTGTTCACTGAGGAAATGTGGCGGCTTGCCTGCTGCGCCCTGCAGGATGCTTTTTCTGCCACCCTGAAGCCAGTGAAGGTAAACTGCCGGGCAGAGACAGACCGACCGAAGGGTTCTCTCCTTCCTTAGAGCCCTGATGCCTCTTCAGGGCGGACTCTGAGTTCTGCCTGCCTCCTCATGGCAGGCAGTCATACTTGAATCTTTCAGAGGGTGAGAAAGACACTGATGGGTCAGTACTTTTGTCCCAGGCACAGGGACCATGTCCAGTCCTAGACTGGGCATGGCACTATGAAGCGGATCCATACAGTGAACACCTCTCTTCCTCCCTAGGACCTGCTGGGCTGCTTCCACAGTGGCACCGAGAGCTTGAGTGGGGAAGGCTGCCAGGTACGAGTGGCAGCCCCCTCCACCTCTCCCAGTGCGGAGGCTGAATACTGGCGCATCAGAGCCATGGCCCAGCAGGTAAGGCCTGGGCTTTGGGCCTCAGGGCTCCAGATGCATGCTGGGAGTCCTGCTGGAGGTCCTGCATGGCCAAACTGCCTTTCATTCCCTTAGGGCCGTACACCTCTGGGCCCTGATCTCCTGCCAGTACTACTCTTTCCCAGCGATGGCTTCTGCCCAGTCATTTGCCTCTTCCCCACCATTCCTTGTTAGTTGTCCCCTCCAGCACTTAGATCAAAGTCCTTTCTGCCACTAGGACTTCATATACAACCTGCTTGGGTACTTGCAAGGATTTGATTACATGTCCCTGTTAAACTGCATTTTGCCTATGATGGCAAAACATATGTATTTTTTTAATTTTCCATTCAGATTTTTTTATTTCCCACCCAGAAATTTTAAAATGGTTTTAATATTTTAAAATGCATTGGTGGCTCACACCTATAATCCTAACAACTTAGGAGGCTGAGATTGGGAGAATCATGGTTCGAGACCAGCCTAGGCAAGTAGTTTGCGAGACCCCATCTCCAAAATAACAAGAGCAAAATGGTTTGGAGGTGTGGCTCAAGCAGTAGAGTTCCTGCTTTGCAAGCAGAACGCCCTGAGTTCAAACCCCAGTACCGCCACCTGTGCCAGGATCTCTGCATACCAAAGGTTTTTCCTTTTTGAGACATACTTAAGAAGTCACAAATGTTGGTTGTGAGCTCCTGAGGAACAGAGAATATGTTCTGTATGTTTGCTCAGGCATTCCTAGAGCAAGGCCTACAGCAATATGTGTTTGTTGACGTCATGTTTGTTGAATCAATGAGTACCTGAATCACAGAAGGCCTTATAGCATTACCATAAGCTGTAGATAAGTCCCTAAATACACAGAAGACATGGAAGCCTGCCTCTAAGAAACCCCGTGTGGGCTTTCATCAGCAGTGCTAAGTACTATCCCTTAAGTTCAACACATTCATAATGGTGCTATTTATAACAGTGAAAGAAGAAAATTTTTCATGAAATGAAATTCCCAGAACCATTGAATAGCTAATCAGGCCACCATGTAGGAGCAATAGCCATGCTTGAACTGTGTCTTCAGAAGCAGCGGCCTTTTTGTAGATGCACATAGGAGGGGTATGTGTTTAAAATACTCAAGTTTTATAAATGTAGATGAACTGTCAGATTCAAATTAAATTTGAAGAAACAAGGCAACGTGGAGGTTCTACTCAAAAGGCTCCCTTTCTCTATAAGATCTGTTTACGTCTTAACAAAACCTCCCCTTAGCACATGGATAAGCTTGGATGCCCTGAATACCAAGTCACCTCCACATTGTTGGTTGTTCTGAAGGGCTTTCCCCAGCAGTGCTCAGGTAGTGGGATGAGAACCTTCCACGGTCAGCTTTTCACATCATCTGCTGAGCCCGTTCATGACATCCTGGGATGTGGGGACTCTGCTGGGTTTGGAGGGAGATAGCATGTCACTAGGAAACATTCGGGTCACCTGTAGATGCTGGGGCCACTTCAACAGCATGGCCACTGTAACCAGCTGCAGCAATAAGGTTGCTTCAGAACGATGACACGATGACAGAGAAAGCAAGAGGGTGTCCTCCAAACGGACAGCTTCTCAAAACAGGAAGCTGTGACACTTGGTTAAAAATTTCCACAGGTGCACACAGTAGTCTTTTCAATCACATCCAACCACACAGCATCTTAAATTCCCCCCTCCACTGCTCTCCCCCACCCCAGTCCCCTGATTCCTGAAACAGTTCCAACAGGTATCATTTTTGCATTTACATACATGTGTATATATTATTTGCACCATATTCATCCTCCTACCCCTTTCCCCACCACCTCCCCCTCCCACGGGTGCCAACCCCCCACTCCAGGCAGAACCTGTTCTGCCCTCCTGTTCTTCAATTTTGTAGAAGAAGAAACATAAAAGATAAAGAAACATAATGCTTTTGCTAGTTTGAGATAAAGATAGCTACACAGGGAGATTCCTTGTGTTGTTTCCATGCATACATTACGACCCCAATTGGTTCATCTCTACCAGTCCTCTTCACTCCTCCCCAGTCCCTTTCCCATGGTGGCCCTGGCCAGTTAAGATTTCTGTATTCATTCCTGTACAGTGAGCACATCAGCCACATTCAAGTTTTAGGTTTCCTTCCCTTGCCTTATCCCTCCCTTACACAGCCTCCCCTTAGTGTGACCCGAATCCTATAATTTTACCGCATTTGCTTTAGATCTATAATCTGCGTATGAGGGAGAACATACAATTTTGGCCTTCTGAGCCTGACTAACTTCGATTAAGATGATGTTCTCCAGTTCCATACGTTTACCTGTGAAATGACAAAATTTCATTCTTCCTTGTGACTGAATAAAATTCCATTTTATTCATTTCATTTTCTTAATCCATTCATCAGTAGTGGGCATCTTGGTTGTTTCCATGGCTTGGCTATTTATTTGTAAATAGTGTTGCAATAAACATGGGTGTACAGGTGCCTTTGTTGTAAACTGACTCACATTTCTTCGGGGTTTGAACTCAGGGCCTACACCTTGAGCCACTCCACCAGCCCTTTTTTTGTGATTTTTTTTTTTTTTTTTGAGATAGAGTCTTGCAACTTATTTTGCCCAGGCTGGCTTTGAACTGCAGCCCTCCTGATCTCTGCCTCCTGAGTAGCTAGGATTACAGGCATGAGCCTCTGGCGCCCAGTTTATTTTTAGTTTTTTAAGGAGGCTCCATACTATTTTCCATGCTGGTTGTACTAGCTTGCATTCCCACCAGCAGTGTATGAGGGCTCCTTTTTCTCCACATCCTTGCCAACATTTGTTGTTGGTGGTGTTCTTGATGCTATCTATACTAACAGGAATGAGGTGGAATCTTAGTGTGGTTTTGATTTGCATTTCCTTTATGGCCAGGGATGGTGAGCATTTTTTCATGTGTTTTCTAGTCATTTGGACTTCTTCCTTTGGAAAAGTTCTGTTCAATTCACTTCTCAATCTTTCTCTTTCTTCCTCAGTCCCAAAACTCCCTTCTATATTCACTCTTTAAATATTCCAGTGTTCATCAGTCCAATCATTCTTACAAAATTTGAAAAGAAGAGGTTTCCTTAAATAATCTGTCATTTCCAAAAGTATTTTAAGTCATGAGAAATGAAATAATTTGAATCAGAGATTTAGGAAACAGTTACTAATTTTTAGTCACTTCGGCCATTGTCTGGTGGAGCACCTCAGCCACATCAGCAGTCCTGAGAGTCTGAATTAATTTCTTAGTCCTGTGTTGAATATAAATGATACCAAACAGATGTGAAAATCAGAGATTATCATTTCAAATAGAACCCCTTTTATTTACTCTTAATAGTAAATGTCAGTACTTGCTTTTGAGGAGTACAAGGGACTGTCATGTGGTAGAAACAGTAGTGTTACTGGCATTGTATCCCCAGCCAGCATTTACTCTTTACTCTCTTCTAATGCTTTGCATATGTAGTGCACATATATCAATTTATTTGGTTCAACAAGTACCAGGAGGGAAAGCACTGTCACCCTCATTTTATAGGAGAGGTAATAGGTAGAAAACAACTTGCCAGCACCCACCAGCTAATGCTGGCAGAGTCAGGTAGAGGATGTTGATTTCCAGACTGTACCTTTGAATATGCTTGCAGGTGTTTATGTTGGACACCCAGAGCTCACCAAAGACTCCAAACAACTTCGATCATGCTCAGTCCTGCCAGCTCATCATTGAGCTTCCTCCTGATGAGAAGTCAAATGGACACACCAAAAAAAGGTATGCAGCTAAACACAGGCATGAAGGGTGCTTATTATAAATAAGAAAATTTATTTGTTTCCAGTTCTTGCTCATTTTCATCCAGAATTTCACTAAGAGTCTTTCAAATGTGTGTGAAGTCATTTAGCAATGGCTTTCATAAAAATGGTTAGCCTAAACCAGATTTCCCACATTTCATATGTATAAGTTGCGCAAGTTGCCACAACAAAGTCCCACAGGCTGGGCAACAAACAGCAGAGTTAATTTTCCCAGAGTTCTGCAGTCTGGGAGTCAGGATCCAGGTGTGGGCGGGGTTTCTTCTGAGGTCTCTCATTTTGGCCCATAGATGGCCTCCTTCTCTCCGTATCCTCATGTGGTCATTCCTCTGTAGGTTTCTGTGTTCAGACTTCCTCTTCTTATTTGTTCATTTATTTTGTGATGCTAGGTATTGAACTCATTATCACTGAGCTATATCCCAGCCCTACATTTCCTCTTCTTATAAAGACACCAATCATATTTAGACTAGGACCCACCCATTAGACTCATTTTTACTCTTTAAATCCTGTCTACAAATGCATTCTCATTCTGAGGTATTAGGGGTTGGAGTTCACCATATTAATTTAGAAGAGACACAACCCAGCTCCTAAAATTATGCATATTGTAATCTGTAAAAAAATATTATTGGCTAGTGTGGTGATTTGTATGTGTCATCCCAGCTACTCGAGAGGCCAAAGGCACCACAATCATTTAAGCCTGAGAGTTCAAGGCCAGCCAGGCAACATAGCAAGACTCTCTTTGAATAATATTATTATTCTCATTGGAGACATAGTTCAGATTATTTGAGAAATACATAAAATTCTCTGTGGGCAATACTCCTGTCAAGAGGCAAAAAGATGTGTACCCTCTTTTTTAAATACATCATCCTGCCTAAAAAAAAAATATTCCTAGAGATGGAGATGAATGCAAAGCCCACCATTTCCCATTTTTTAAACTTCTGACATACTAGCAGTAATAAGAGTTTTAGCACCTTATATAAAATACAGGAGATAGATAGCACCATTCACATCTCACCCATGATGACCCAGTCAAAGGGACAGTCACTTACCCAAGAACACTGCCACCAAATAGTAAAGCCAGAATCAAAACCAATTCTAGCTGAGCACATTAACTCTGCCCCATGAATGGGATTCGTGCCATTTAAAAGAAGAGATAGGAGCCCTCCCTCATCACCACATGAGGACACAGCAAGAATCTGGCTGCCTACAACTGCCAGAGAGTCCTCACCAGACTGACCACAGTGAAACTCTGATTTCACACTTCCAACCTCCAAATTGTGAGAAAGCAATTTCTTTGCTTTTAAGCTACACAATCCATGGTATTTTGTTACAGCAACCTCAGCTAAGACAGTTGTTATTTCATAGACTGGGGGATTGGCTGTAACCTTGTTGGTATAGCAATTTGATTAAATAGCTATCTGGCTGAAATTTCCAGTATTCATTTTGTTAGTCAAGTGTTTGGTACCTACAAAAGAATATGTAGACTATTCAAAAGTTAGAATCATGAATAAAAGCTAGAATGTGCACCTGCTGCAACTTTACCAATATTACATGTGCCATTCCCCAGGTCTAGCAACCATTAACCACTGGTTTTTAAGTGTCACTCATTTTTGTCTATTTTATATACCAAAAATGGTGCATTCCTTTATCTTTACACATCGATCTGTTTTAGAATTCCACAGTTATTTTTGTGTCTCTTGCCCTTTTTTTAAAATATATATATTTCTGGTTCCGATTCAGTCAGCTATTCTTGCTGAAATTTTTTGAAGTAAGACTAAGAAAAATAGGAAAAGGAACAAAAGGCTGAATTCAAAATTTAAATAGAATATGTGAAAAATAAAATAACCTTATGCTCTTATGTTATTGATTTAAAAGGTCAAGTATGATATATTGTAAGAATTGTTGTACATGTCACAATGTACCCCCAGTACAATTTAAAATAATAAAAAATCAAAAATATAAAGGTTATTTAGCATTTTCAATAGACAGTTGCACACTCACTGTACTTAAGTAAAACAGAAAAACGATATTAAATTCCTTAAGCAATTCCACCGGCCACTGAGCCAAAAGACATTCCCTAACATTCTGTCAGAGACCTCAGTCAAACCCTCTTTATATTCTATTCTTGGGTTTGAGTCATATTAGAAGAGGCAGTTCTTAACTTAGCAGAGAATGTAGAAGACGACAAAGGGAGAATGATGAGTTCTTAATGGGTACGGAGTTTCTGTCTGGGATGATGAAAAAGTTCTAGAAATAGATAGCGGTGATGGTTATACACCATTGTGAATATATGTAACATCACCTAATCGTACACTTAAAATAGTTACAATAGGGGCCAAACATGGTGGGACACATCTGTAATCCCAGCTACTCAGAAAATGGAGGTAGGAGAATCATGGTTTACAGCTCACCTGAGTAATAGTATGAGACCCTATCTAAAAATAAACAAAAGCAAAAGAAGCTAGACAAGTGGCCCAGCTGATAGGTACGAGGCACTGAGTTCAAGCCCAACTACTGCAAAAAAAATAGTAATGTTATATTACATATATATATGCATATATATCACCACAAAAGTTATTTACGTGTCTTATTTTAAAAGATTACTAATTTTGAATGACAACTGTTTATTACTCATTTCTTCATTGAGTGACAACTGTATAAAGGGCAAAGTCAACATTTAGATGTAGAAGAATTATTATTTTCTGCTAGTTAAAAAGTGTTTTTCTGCTAATTATAAAAAATAATTTTTACTTATTTTTATTTTTCCTTTTTTATTATATTATTATTGCACTGGGGGTACATTGTGACATTTAGAAAATTGCTTACAATATATCTTACTTAAATTCACTCCTTCCATCATTCTCCTTTATCCCCCATCCTCCCTTTCTTAGAATAGTTTCAGCAGGTCTCATTTTTCCATTTTCATTCATGAGTCTGTAATATTTCTACTCTATTCACCCTCCTACACCCTTTCGTTATATCCTCCCCCCTTCCAACTGCCAGACAGCACCTGCTTAAGGTCATAGTGACACAGAATAAAGCAAAAAGCTTTTAACATATGGGTAGACCTTTTAAATCAATGCCTTAATAAGAGTTGTCATAATTTTGTAATTATCCACTTACAGGAATTAGTTGGCAATATAATGGCATAAGCTATTTCCACAAAATTCTAAGAGCCGTGAAAGAACAAGAAACCACAAACCCAAAACCACACTGGTAAATTAAAGTGTTTGGTAAATGTAGTACCTGGACTTGAAATTATTTTCTTGGTATAAGAATCAACCAAACAGAAGGTGCTGAATCACCAGCATTTTAGCACTTACATCCAAAGCTAACTTACTGGGCTGTGCCATGTTAGAAAACAGCAGGAAGTTGTTGTGATGTCCAGGGAGGATTTGCCTCTCCTACTCCCCATCCCACATGGCTAACCTGAGGGGCGTCTCATGGAAACCAAATAACCATTCAAGGCTTGTGAAGGAGTGCATGGCCACGTTGGCAGACAGGGGATTTGTGTGTGAGTGAATGCTGCGTCCTCACTGGGTTGGTTTAAAAGGATGTGAATTACCCTGTCAACTTATTCCTTAGCTTTTCCATGTCAGCCTCATTTTACCCATAGCATTAAATCACTTCAATGTTTGGTTCTCTTCTCTTGCACATGCTGGAAACATCAAAGTTTCATATTTTAGTTGGCACTTAAGACATTAACATTCAATCCTGGAAGACTGGTTTGGAGCAAAATTAAACTTCAGTAGATTTCAAAAACCTTTATGTTGAAGAAAACAGGATAGAGAGTAAGGAAAAGGCCTGTCTAAAGTTACAGAGTTTCTTTCTGTCTTGAGCTGATGTTTTATTAACTATGAAAGAAAATAAAATAGCATATCCTGTAATTGTACCTGTTTTTTTAAATTTTTGTAAAACTGTTGAATTTGTTTCCTAAAATTTGGTGGTGCAAATTCGGCATCCTAACTTAGATCTAGGCCTCCTGGATTTTAAAAAGTGCCAGGAATTCCACTAGCTATGATTAGAATGGAAGTTTGCCCTTTGTTGCCAGGAAGCCATTGGACTACAGGTGGTGTGGTATTTCACAGAATCATTCTGAAGGGAGCAATGGTGCATCACCCTGAAATGGCGCTCACCGGACCCTTTCTTTGCGTTTGAAGTGTGTCTTTCAGGGAGATCGTGGTGAGCCTGCTGTCTCATCAAGTGCTACTGCAGAACCTGTATGACATCCTCCTAGAAGAGTTTGTCAAAGGCCCCTCTCCTGGAGAGGAGAAGACCATGCAAGTACCAGATGCCAAGCTGGCGGGCTTCCTCAGATACATCTCCATGCAGAACTTGGCCGTCATATTTGACCTGCTGCTGGACTCCTATAGGACAGCCCGAGAGTTCGACACCAGCCCGGGCCTGAAGTGCCTGCTGAAGAAAGTGTCTGGCATCGGGGGCGCTGCCAACCTGTACCGCCAGTCAGCCATGAGTTTCAACATCTATTTCCACGCGCTGGTGTGCGCTGTGCTCACCAACCAAGAAACCATCACTGCCGAGCAGGTGAAGAAGGTCCTGTTCGAGGACGACGAGAGGAGCACGGATTCGTCGCAGCAGTGCTCATCTGAGGACGAGGACATCTTTGAAGAGACGGCACAGGTGAGCCCCCCGCGGGGCAAGGAGAAGCGGCGGTGGCGGGCGCGGCTGCCCTCGCTCAGCGTGCAGCCGGTCAGCAATGCCGACTGGGTGTGGCTGGTCAAGCGACTGCACAAACTGTGCATGGAGCTGTGCAACCACTACATCCAGATGCACTTGGACTTGGAGAGCAGTGTGGAGGAGCCCCCAGCCTTCAAGAGTGACCCCTTCTTCATCCTGCCCTCCTTCCAGTCCGAATCGTCCACCCCATCTACAGGTGGCTTCTCTGGGAAGGACACACCTTCCGAGGATGACCGAAGCCAGGTCCGGGAGCACCTAGGCGAGTCGATGAGTCTCAGGGTGAGTGGTGGGGATATGCTCATGGTGCCTCCCAGTCCCAAAGTGGAGAAGAAGGATCCCAGCCGGAAGAAAGAGTGGTGGGAGAATGCAGGGAACAAAATTTACACCATGGCAGCCGACAAGACCATCTCCAAGTTGATGACTGAATACAAGAAGAGGAAACAGCAGCACAACCTGCCCACCTTCCCCAAAGAGGTCAAGGTGGATAAGAAGGGAGAGCCACTGGGGCCCAGGGGCCCAGACTCGCCGCTGCTTCAGCGTCCCCAGCACCTGATGGACCAAGGACAGATGCGCCATTCCTTCAGCGCCGGCCCTGAGCTGCTGCGACAGGAGAAGAGGCCCCGATCTGGCTCCACCGGGAGCTCCCTGAGTGTCTCTGTGCGAGATGCAGAAGCTCAGATCCAGGTAGGTCCCTGCAGGCCAGAGGATGCTGGCAGGAGGCTGGGTTTCCCATACTTGATGGGTCCCCCATACTTGATGGGTCCCCCTTGCAGGACAGCAGTACCCATTCTAAGATTCGTTAGAACCCATTTCCTCCCAGAGTCAGAGGACTGCCCAACTCCACAATGTAGCATCTGCCTGAACCACTGTGTCAGGGTGAAACAGACTTCCGTCTCAGATCATTTCAGAAGCTCTTTTGTTTCTCTGTGTTGCAATATATTTTTGAAAATTAGGAACCCACCCATATAAGTAAGAACATAAAATTCAGGGGCACTGAGTCCTTCATTATAATGGAACTGAAGAGCTTCTGTGGTTCTGAAGCACTGGAAATGGAAATGGAAAGGGCAGAGTGGATATTTTTACGTGGTTATGCCAATAAGCTGTCATCTAGTCCATCCTGAGCACATGAAGGTTCTCATTCTTCACTGGGCTTTGATTGGGGCTTCAAATACTTCAAATACTTCATATTTGTTATTCTATAGCTCATGAAAATGAGTTTGGAAAGGAAACAGTGCTGGAACTGTTTGTTCAGTTCGAGAAGAGATGAGATGGGAAAACAGAAACAGCAGAATTTAAAATAATCTGAATGCATATTTTAAATGGTAGGCTCCTGTTATAGGCATAGTACATTAGAAGATCTGGGACCCTAGGTTTCTATGAACCTCTACAAGACTGTATTCTCAGAATGAACATAATTTGGAATGAGCACGAATCTTGCAAGATGCCTGATTCTCCTATGAAATTCCTTAAACATAAAAGTGAACTTCATAATACAAAATCTACAAAACTCATACTAGACTAGATTTTTAAAAGTATCCCATCACCCTGAGATGTACGGTTGTTCTTCAGCATGTGGGCTTCTTGGAAAATCATATATCTTCATTGCTCGTCCATGTTGTGGAGTTCTATGTAATGATTTTAAAGTTATCCTAAATGAAGGCAGAACTATTCCAAGTCATCTAGGTATTATAAGATGACTGAGTAAAAGTATCATATAGCTATAATACTTGTAGAAATAACTATACTTATAATAGAGATAACTAGTGGAATTTCATTATGAGAACGCCAAAGAGGTTTTCCTTAAATCTAAGGAATAAAGATGTGAATAGTTTGTTAAAGCTGAAATTAACATATTCCTAATGTTATATGAGTCTTTGCACATCCTTCTATATATAAAGTTAAAGCCACTATTAATTATAGGCACATTAAATTATTAAAGACTAATTTTTCCATAGCTAAAATCTGAGAAAACCCATTTTTATATTGAAAGGGCTGCATCACATTGCCAAGCTGAAATGCTGAGACAACCAATAATTCTCTTAAATCCTTTCTCTTAGGCGTGGACCAACATGGTGCTAACGGTTCTTAATCAGATTCAGATCCTTCCGGACCAGACCTTCACTGCCCTGCAGCCTGCAGTGTTCCCTTGCATCAGCCAGCTGACCTGTCACGTGACCGACATCAGAGTTCGTCAGGCTGTGAGGGAATGGCTGGGCAGAGTGGGCCGTGTCTATGACATCATTGTGTAGCAGACTTGGATTCCATCCCCAAGGAAATGAGATAATGAGGGGTAGATTCTGCCTGCCAATCCAACTGATGGCATTTTCCCCACCACCCACCCCACTTAAGGCTAGGTCTCAGAGAAGGTAGTTCTCTGAAACGTAGTAACAAACCTTTCTACCCGCATCCTAATTCATCAACCTTGGGCCATTCTGGATACCAAGATGGTATCCAGATGATACAAGTGATCATCTGATTTTGCACATTATTACAGAAGAGTTAACATTCCTTGATATATTTCTAATCTTGAAGTTGATTTCCAAGTGTTTTTGCTTGCAGTGTTAGCCTCAAATGGGTTATTTTCAAGGATCACCCCCTTGAAAATACTACATTGGTCCATTTGATCTAGCATTTTAAAAATAAATGCAAGTTCTAAGAAAATATCTGCTGGTAAGTCAAGCTGATATATAAACACTCAGACATCTAGTATCAGCCATTATTAATTGGCAGAAAACCTATATTATGGTTGGATTTGGCTGGGGAAAAAACTATTGCAAATGTATTTTTTTCAGTGTCATAATCAAGAAAGAAATGACTTCTACTATAAAATATTCCAGAACATTTCAACATTAATCCTAAGTTACTAAGATTTTCAGGTTAGTATTTGCCAACTTCCCCATGTAAGGTACTATTGTGCCTTTATTTCTCTATTTCTAAAGGAAGATGTTCTTTCCTAGCAGGGTTTTAAGTCTGTGGTTTGACAGGCTTTAACACAAAACACCCAGTGGTATTGGCTGATGCATATGTTGTCAAGAAACTTGAGACTGACCAGCTACCCTGCATGTCCCATTAGTCTTTGCTTCTGCTCCCAAGGCAGACAAGAAAAGGAAAGAAAAAATGGTGCCTTAATCCTTCATTGCACAGACATTTCTATGCCCCACAATTATCCAAACATAAGGTACAAAACTTGGTTTTTAAGAGAACAAAATATTAAGTTGAAACTCATTTTATATCAGTACGCTTGGAGGAAAAGAACTCAGGAGTCCTCCATCCAGTGAGCAGACTTCTCAGGGAAGGGGGCAGGAAGTGCCAGGAAGATAGCTGGAAGGGGTGGGTTAGGGGACCATGATGGAATCATGTCAAATCTTAAACTATGATAGAAAACTTGTGAAATTGTGGTGTCTGTTATACAGGCTCTTATCTCAGAAGAAAATAAAGGGGAGAGGACATGATGAAGGTTAGAAAATTAATTTTTCTATTGAAAGTATTTCTTATTTCTCCTCTCTAGCAAGTGAAGTTACAATGTTTCAAGGGCCCTTTTATTCATACCAGTATTTTAAGTGGATATTTCTTTTCCTAAGAATTATTAGAAAATGAATTTGAAATCTTTATTGCAGTATATACACACAGATATATATACATATGTATATGTATGTATGTAAACACATGTATATATACTTGTGTCTATATATATATATATATATATATATATACACACATTATATAATATATATATTCCTGGGGACAAAACCTAGGACCTCAAACATGTTTAAGCACGTGCTCTAACCACTGGGTCACACCCCTACCATACCCCTAGCCTTTACTACAATATATTTTATATTTCTTACATTATAATAATGATTGAACCTTTTGAATCAAGCCCACTTACATTCTAGAGAGAACGATTAGTTACTAGGGCATATGTGGTAATTTCCCAGTGCCTAAAAATATATTCATATATCATCCTATGAAGATAAAATATCAGTTCTCCAGTATTGAAGTAAGGATTTAAAATGGATTGAACTTTACCCAGGGATGGTATCCATAAACTTTGTCCTCCTTAAGAACTGTGTAGCTATCTACAAGGTTAAGAGCAAGGCAAGGTTCTCTGAGTTTCTTCAGGTGATCAAAAAGAAAAACTGAGTATTCTGTACCAAAAACAAAAAATTAATTAAATTTTAAAACCATCAGAAAGTGCACCCATCTCTTTGCTCTCAGCTCTGTAAGAAGTTTTGGCATAGCCTCCCGTCTTGTTGCTAGCCCATTCTAAGTCCCACACTGCCCTTAAGCCTACCCGCATGCCTCATGTACCCTGTACTCAGAGCTATCTGACATCCACCGCCACACCAGATGTCAACCAGAAAAGCAGCTTCCCAGGGAGATTTGCAGTTTTCAGAAACAAAGGACTGCTTACTACAAAGTAGTCTCTAATGAGTAGACTTCAGTTGAATCCTCCAGCCAGTGGAGAAGGGAGTGAGGTAGTTAGGAACCTCCCAGATTGCCAGGCAGTCCCTGGCACTGGTCCTGGTGTTTGGCCAGTGTCACAGTGTCTGCTTTCTCCCCCTCTCTTCTTTCACTCCCTCCCACAGTCTCTAAAAGTGCCAGGTATTTTTCTACTCACAGTCACTTTTTAGGCAGCAGTAAGATCGAGGCAGTATTAGCACTGTATATACAGATCTAAATAGAACAAAATTTTACACGTTGCTTTCAGTTGCCTGTATTTACTGCCAAAAATGAATTGCCTGAACTTGAGATTTTTCTCTCCTTTTCTTATATTTTGGTAAAGTGTGCTTCATGTAACAAGCATCTGGAAAACTCCAGTTATAAGAAGAATCCTAATTGAAAGGCCCAGCTGAGTGCACACACACTGCCACTAAGAAGGGTGTCAGGTCTAAGGATTGAGGCCTCATTAATGGTCCCTAGGGCCTTGCCCAGCTCCTGCACACCAATCAGCTTTTATAAATGGTTAGACTGCCTCCTTACACCCTCTTCTTATCTCTCTCTTTATGTTCCAGCCTTCTCTACTGATACAGGACTAGAACACATCTTAACATAGTCAGGCCACTTAATGACTGACCAATAAGAACCCATGGAAATGCTAACATACAAAACAGTTCAAATTAAAATATTTTGAATTAAACATGACAAAAATGTTAATATAATTCAAAGTACCTTTGACTTGAGACTTCCTGGTTCTTGTTGTTTTCAGCCATACTACAAAGGTAATGCAGTTACACAGTAAGTATCCCTAACCTGCCCAAACACTGATTATACAGAAGGGAAAATTCATCAATGTCAGTCCCATCAAACCAAACAGAATGAAGACCTTAGTTTAGAACTGATAAAGAGGTGACAAATGGCAGGATGTGTTGAGTGTCACTGTGAATGCGGACCTTCTTACAGTAACCTTGTAAAACAGGTACTATTTTTTTTTCCCCATTTTTTCAGATGAGAACACAAACCCAGAGAGGTTCAAAAATTTACCCAAGACAAATTTTTTAAAAAGGTAAAGTTGGTTGCAAAAGAAGTGTTGGACTCAGAGACCACACTGTTTCTCAGACACTAGGCTCTCAGTGCCCTGAGTGGGCTCTCTAGTATGAGAGAGCTCAGGGAATATTTGTTCCATATCCCAGATCTGTCTGGATACTAGGGGGATTTAAAAAAAAAAAAAAAGACTTAAAATGTGTTTGTAAATAGAACATATCCAACACATTTTCAGTGTTTGAAAATAAAGGAAATCAGAATCTAAACTTCAATCTTAAAGCAAACATTTAGTGTTACTCTAGAAAACCTCCTGCACTGGGTGGGAGCGATGGAACCCTACTGTCCTGGCCAGCTTTGAAGCACAAAACATGACAGTCTGTGTCTGGAATGGCATGCATACTCTGCAGACCTTTTCAAATAGCATTTAATCAACAAAGTGCCCTGTAGCCAATAGTGCCTCTTTACTTGCTTCTCTGGGATGTGCTAAACTTACAGACCACCATCTAAGTATAAGTATATGAAAAATAAATCATTCTCCAAAATGTACATTCTCTCAAGAGGAAGCAACTGGGTGGACAAGATTGACTCAAGGTCCAGGTACTGAGGGCCTCAGGACAGTGTCCATAGCAACCATGTGCCATACACCTCAACATTTGCACCTGTTCTACAGACAAGGAAACAGGCAGAAAGCCCAGAGCTCTACAGTAAGCCAAGGTCAAAACTGAAATGTGCTTGAGTACCAGTTATCTAAACCTAGCAAGATCGAGAGTGGCCTTAGAGAAGCAAAAGAACATTTTATATCACTTTTTATTGAAAATATGAGCTTGATAATTGAGAAGTTGGTAAAGGACTTGAGTTACAACTATGCCTTCTCAAAAAAAAAAAAGTTCCCTCTATTCACTAGTGGAGCAATCTAGAAAAAAATACCTTTGTTTCTTTGGGATATCCCCTTCTTCTGGCTATACTGTGGTGTTTGTGTTTGATGTAGAAGTAATTAATAATTTCATTAAGATTTTGGAATAGAACATCATTTAGATTTCCAAAATGAAAAACAGACAAAAAATATATTCCCTAAGATTGTCTGGGAGATAGTTAAGAACAATGCTCAACTTTTAAACAGTGCTACCGCTTATTAAAGAAAAATATTACCAAATCACTAGCACCCTGCAAAACCTTTTCCCTGTATCTTTGCATGATAATGCACGGAGGTTCCAGGGAGGAGGACTGACTAGTGACAAAAGTACACTCAATTGGTGGTGGTTCCATCCAGCATGGACCTGCCATCCTTTCCAACATCAAGAGTTGTTTGTACCGTTAGTTCCTGCCCTGGTGGTTTAACCAGAGGTCATTTAATTTCTTTTGTCTTAAAAACAATGGTTCTCAAACTCTAGCATACATCAGAATCACCTGTGGATTTTGTTAAGCCAGATCACTGGGCCATACCCAGTTTCTAATTCAGTACATCTGGAAATTTGCATTTCTAACAAAACCAGATGAAGTCAAGTTTGCTGCTGTGGGGACCAAGCTAAGAGAATCATTGCCCTAAGAAAATTTCCAACTGCTACCTTTAAGATCAGCCTGACTTATCAAGCACTAGAGAAAAACTGAACTTTCCCTTGGACAGACAATTTGGGATTGGATTAACTGCAACATTCCTGATCAATCTTCCCAGTTTCCAGTTTTGTTATCCCAACAATTGGTTTTTACATGCTAGAAGACAATGAATGTATCAATTCTATGAACAGTGAGATAAATCTAAGCTTTTCATCTTTGTATTTAGACGCATTGATCCTGTAAGTGATCGTTTGTATCATGTTGACCCTTTGACTTGTACTGAAGGTGATTTTAAATTGAAGTCTGTGGTGTGGGCATTTCTTTCCATCCAGTTTCAATGAGATGTTCCCATGTCTCATTACATCCTGGCTCCTGGCTCACACAGGCTTTTGAGTAGTTGCTCACTTGCCACTTGTTTTACATCTCACATTGGTCATTGAAATATCAGCATTTCAAGATGATATGACACAACTTGCTGTGTTATCCTCTTTCATTTAACTGTCTGGTGTAAATTTGCATTTTAACTTAATACACATCTGTAAAGAGCCTACCAAATGGCTTCATGGAAATTTGCAAAATGAACCCTTCTGAGCAGCTTGTTTTGACTTCTCAGTAAATATATTGTGTTTGTGCACAGGTCTGCACAATGGAGACTGTATTCATTATCTTTCAAATGGTAGGAAAAATGAATCAATGTGCTTTGGGAATACAGAGAAACCATGTTAACTCAAATATAGACAGGGGCTTAGTTTCTCTTCCAACTCGATTCGGTTAATTAGCAGTAGAAATTACTTTTCTGTTTTAAAAAGACCATATAAAAATATAAAGAATGGGAGTAATCTGTAATTTTATGAAATTTAACTTCTAAACAAAATAAAAATCCATTAATATAATTCCAGCTACTTGGGAGGCTAAGGCTAGAGTATGACAAGTCCAAGGCTAGCCTGGGCAACCGTCTCAACAATGAATGAATGAATAAATAAATAAATATCCAGCAAGAATGAAAAAGGGGGGGGGCGAAGATCATAGAAGGAATGATTCAAGAGAAAAAAAGAATTAAGCACCTCATTTATAAACTATATTGATTAAACATAATTCTTATTGATCCAGTAAAGTTTCTCTAAAGAACTCTGCTTAATAAAAACGCTAAAATCATGTAGATTCATTTAGACTATAGTGTGAATAGGAAGTAATATACTTGAATTAGTGAAATCAGAAAATGGTATCAAGGATTCAAGTCCTTGCCTCAGTGGATGGAAATAATTGAAGTTTTGTTTTTGTTCCCCTTTTGTTTACCATCATCATTTTTTTAAAAATTATTCACTTAGTTCTTTTAATCATAGCTGATTTAAAATTTAAATTTAAAAAAATGAATCTCTAGGAATAATTTTATTTCAAACCGTTTTACCAACTGATGCCAAAAAGTGGAGAGGGGGAATCTGAAAGCCAATCTTTTGAACCACCATGTGAAATACTGCTTTTCTTCGTACAGTTAGGGAGGCTTCTGA